GAAATGCATTGGTGACAAAGAACATTGCTGATCCGCGTTTATTGTCCATTATCTCTTTTGCTTTCCTATTACTAGTTTCATCCTTGCCTTTTGTGGTATTAGTATGAGCAGCAACATATGCAAAGTTTAACGTTTTATCTCGGTAATATCCTTGGAACAAATGAATTTGGATTTCCGGATGCAGTTCCCAAACAAGTCTGTAAAGTTTTTCTTTCATTACTAACAAATATACATTTTTGTGGTAACATCTGGTTCTTTTGTTGGAAGAAGCGTTTATTGCAAAGACCATTTTGGTTATCCTGAAAGTAATCGACAGATGAAAAACAAACTAAACATTCTTATCCGCGAGTTAGGATATATGAGATATGAGAAACAAGAACATCACAACAAAAGGAAACAAAGAAAGAAATAAAATTAGAGGTACTCGATAATCTGTTTTGTTTCTTTTTCCCGTCTTTTCCTTTTGCAACCTCGGGCATGTCGTTTGATCTGCACTAAACCTGGAACATAAGAGCACATAATTGGGAAAGAATACTCTTTTGAAGGTTCTCCTAAATCCACTTTTTTGAAATATCCATCCTCTCCAATGATATAAGCGTAGCTGCCCATCTCCGTATATGTATCTCTCATGTCAATATCAAAAACCATAGCAACTTTCTTCTCCTCGTCAACAAAGAAACTCCCTGCAGTAACTCCAATTTGATAATCATAGATTGGTTTCATATCCACCGCTAAGAACAACTTCTTGCTCCAAGACATAGCTTCGGGCTCAATCTTAGTTGTAATCCATATCTCCATATGTAATGTATCCTCTTGCTGAAACAACACCGCGAGTTGCTCATCTCTAACACTGGATAGAGTCACGGTTTCTTCCATAAAAGAGTGAAACGGTAGACTTAGACGCGGTCCAAATCTCTCTTTTGTAAAATCAAAAGAGATTAAAAAATCTTGGTACCTTGTTTTTCCTTCTTCTTTGTCTCCTCCTAGACACATTTCTTGAGCAAACCAATATGTATTACCTTTGAGAGACACGCCACGTGCATAAAACTGTATATCCCAGTCTGGAAAGATAGTGATAGGGTTAGTCATATCCCTAGGTGATTTAGAGTTTATGTAGTACAATTCATAACGAATGTCTTTGGAAGAAAGTTCACAAAATCTCAATACTTTGTAGCTGCGGCATGATTTGCTATTCTCGTATCCTATAGCATAAATATCCCATCTCTGTCTGCTTATTGGTTCGAACCACCGGGTTTGGCCGCAATACGGATTCCAAACAACGAACCTAGTGAGGTCTCTTGTGATGCATAACAATAAACCATCGCAGTGGTAGACAACAGATATATCGACTTGAGCTGAATCGGTTAGGCTAACGAGTTTACCTAGATGGTTTATTGATGGGTCAATTCCATGGAGGTTGACGCCCATCAAATAAACCCGATCATTCATCACCATAACCGCCAAAAAATCCATGGCTGCTGCTGCTGCTTTGGTTTGAACAATGTGCTTTGTAAAACTCTCATCTTTGAATAAAGTGTTCCAATTTTTGCAAACCAATCGCACTGCTCTCATAGATGTCATCGGAAGCCTAACGAGCACATCCTCTGCCAAATCCCTTGGAAGATCGGACAGCATCTTCTTCAGCAAGGATCGATGTAAAACATATAAGTTAGGGTTAAAGCTTAAGAAGAAAGTCTCCTCTGCTTCCGGTGGTTACAAATTTGAAGACACAGAAACCCTAGCTGAATTTGCGCCAACCACAATCTAATCTAGTGGGCTTTTAATGTGGCCCAAGATAATTTAAATAAGATTTCAACCCAACAATATTTTTTCTACATATTTATTCGAGAAGACATCAAATTGAGCAAAATGTCTCTAGTGGTTTTTCCTCCCATGTATGTCTGAAACTGGACATGAAGTGCTTAAAGGATGGGTTTTTGCATCACATTCGCTCCATTAAAACTGGTTCAACCTTAACCGCAATCTCCTCGAACCAACTCGTTAACCTTTACTCAAAAAATGGCTTATTGCGGGAAGCACGGAATGTGTTCGACGAAATGCCTGAGAGAAACGTTTTCTCGTGGAACGCAGTGATCGCAGCCTACGTAAAGTTCAACAACGTAAATGAAGCGCGTGAATTGTTCAAAAGGGACAATTGTGAACGAGATTTGATTACGTACAACACTTTGCTTTCAGGGTTTGCCAAAACTGATGGGTGTGAGAGTGAAGCTATTGAGATGTTTGGTGAGATGCATAGGAAGGAGAAGGATGGGATTTGGATAGATGATTTCAGTGTCACTACTATGGTTAAGCTTTCTGCCAAGTTAACCAATGTGTTTTATGGCGAACAGTTGCATGGAGTTATGGTGAAAACAGGGAATGATGCAACTAAGTTTTCTGTTAGTTCTCTCATTCACATGTATTCGAAATGTGGTAAGTTTAAGGAAGTTTGTAATGTCTTTAACGGGTCGCGTGTTGAGTTTGTTGATAGTGTGGCTAGGAACGCAATGATTGCAGCTTATTGTAGAGAAGGTGACATTGATAAAGCTTTGAGTATATTCTGGAGAAATCCAGAATTGAATGATACAATTTCGTGGAATACATTGATCTCAGGGTATGCACAGAATGGTTATGAAGAAGAAGCTTTGAAGATAGCTGTTAGTATGGAGGAAAATGGCTTGAAATGGGACGAACACACTATCGCGGCTGTGCTAAATGTTCTGAGTAGTTTAAAGAGCCTTAAGATTGGAAAGGAAGTACATGCTCGGGTATTGAAGAACGGATCATATTCTAATAAATTTGTTAGCAGTGGAATTGTTGATGTTTATTGCAAGTGTGGAAATATGAAGTATGCGGAGTCTGCTCATTTGTTATATGGTTTTCGAAACTTGTATTCAACTTCTTCAATGATCGTGGGCTACTCGTCTCAGGGGAAGATGGTGGAGGCGAAAAGGTTGTTTGATTCTGTATCTGAAAAGAATCTAGTGGTCTGGACTGCCATGTTCTTGGGATATCTTAATTTACGTCAACCTGATTCTGTTTTGGAACTTGCTCGTGATTTTATAGCCAATGAGACCAATGTTCCTGATTCTTTGGTCATGGTCAGCGTCCTTGGTGCATGCTCTTTACAAGCTTATATGGAACCGGGGAAGGAGATTCACGGTCACAGCTTGAGAACAGGCATTTTAATGGATAAAAAACTTGTTACTGCATTTGTTGACATGTATTCAAAATGTGGAAATGTTGAGTATGCTGAAAGGATCTTTGACAGTAGCTTCGAGAGAGACACAGTTATGTACAACGCAATGATAGCTGGTTGTGCTCATCATGGCCATGAAGCCAAATCTTTTCAGCTCTTTGAAGACATGACTGAGGGTGGATTCAAGCCAGATGAAATCACGTTTATGGCCCTCCTATCAGCTTGTCGTCACCGCGGCTTAGTTCTAGCAGGTGAGAAATACTTCAAGTCGATGATAGAGGCTTACAACATATCTCCCGAGGCTGGTCACTATACCTGCATGATAGATTTGTATGGAAAGGCCAATAGGTTGGACAAAGCCATAGAACTTATGGAAGGTATTGATCAAGTTGAAAAAGATGCTGTTATTCTTGGAGCTTTTTTAAATGCTTGTAGCTGGAATAAGAATACAGAGCTTGTGAAGGAAGTAGAAGAGAAATTGTTAGCCATTGAAGGATCTAACGGGTCTCGCTATATTCAGCTAGCTAACGCTTATGCCTCGTCTGGTAGATGGGATGAGATGAAACGGATACGGCATCAAATGAGAGGGAAGGAGCTGGAAAAATTTTCTGGGTGCAGCTTGGCATATATCGATAACCAAGTTCATATGTTTACTTCATCTGACATTTCCCATTTCAAAACAGAAGCTATATATTCTATGCTACATTTCGTGACCAAGGATTTGTCTGAAATTTCTGAATACAGGATATAATAGAGAGGTATCAATTTTCTGTACATGATAATAGAATACCCAGATGGCCCAAGGGTTGATGATCTCTGTCTCTGTGCTACAAGGTATATGCCTAGACAGCAATGTATATTCACTGATTTTGGGGTACTTAGATTTCATTTCACATTCAGCTTTCTCAATGTTCTTATCATCAGTGACTTTTACAAACAATTCGTTTGGTCATTGTCTCGGGTGTCAACTTTCTTGCTGAATTTGCAAATCAACCAACATCTCTTTGACTTTCCCCTGTTGGGGGTTTGCTCTTCTAGGGCTTTTGCATTAGCTAAAATCCATAATTCTTATATTGTACTTCAATATGAGTGTTATTGGCAAAAGCTGAAGAGGCATATGCTGTTCCGGATTCAGAAACAAAACCCAAGTTTTCTTATCCAATATGGTTGTTTTGAACTTCCTCTATTGATGGAAGGATCTCTTAAGTCTTAAAGCCCAGTCTCAGCCAGATGAGGAGGTCATGTGAGTACCTATCGATTCTCTAGTTTTTATTCATCTGTCATTGTCTCTGTAACATGTAGAGTTGGAATAAATTGTTTACTGTATGTTTCCCTCTGCAATCACTCTTACTAAAAAGTTTTGTGTTAATCATTTTGATGTAGGCGGGAAGAAGCCAAACAACACCAGCACAAAGTAATGAAGAAAACAACAACAGAAACAACATCAAACACAGACCAACACAGAACAACAACAAAAACAGAAATCAATACGAGAAACCCATGAAAACCAAAACACAAAGCGAAACCTTCCGAAAGAAAACCTACTAGCAAGTTGCAGCAGCTAAACTTTATTGGGGGCTTAAATTCAACCTAATTGCTTTCATACGCAACCAAAACAATACAGTATGTAACTTCTTGTACATTTTGATGAGAATAATCAGTCTTTTATCCTATCCACGGTAAAACTGTAGTGGCTCTGTGAGTTATGTAGGAGTCAAATGTGTCTTATGGTTGTATTTTGTGTTTTTTTTTAATCTGCTATGAGCTAACATGTGTACATGAATGTATGGAGACTTTCTCAAATAGAGCTAATCATATATTGCAGCCTGAGGTCACATTTCATAAGTAGAAAGTGGATTGATTCTGAACCCCGAAATACAAAAGTAAAAAGATTCCATCATGTGGATTGAAAACAATGAAAGTTTATTTGTTTAGTAATTTGAAGGCTTTTTTTGCAGTCTCAACAAGTGGAACAGAACGAAGATTGAAATGTGTAGCAGAGGTCAAGTAGGCACAGGCCAAAGAGACATAAATCTTGAACCAAATCATCGATGAGAAGAAGGTGAGATGCGTACAGATGGTGGTGAAGGCAATCACTGCCAAGCAGTTTATGAGGTACTTCTTTGTGTTGAACTCTTTTTCTGTTCCTTCGTTAGGGAAATGGCCATTGGAGTAAAAGTCATTGAGCAGCTGGTCTTTGAGCTGGAATGTGTTCATTAACCAAGCATTGATGTCCTTTTCTTGATTTGGGATTTGGGTTAGGTTGATACGACGGATGTGGATGTGAACTTCTGATGGCTCAATTCCATAGACATTGTCTAAGAAAGATGGGCAACGGGTTTTATAACCGATGGTCACATCATAAACTGCAAGTGAAACAGTGTTGCATCAGAGTTTGTTTTGTTCAAGAGGAAAGGAAAGGCCTAGGATCTTTTAAATCACTGATGCGAACCAGCAAAAGTATAGACAAACCTGCATCAAGTGAGCAACTCAATTCTTGCAAGCAGGAGAAGAAACCTTTTGTCCTGGGAAGCAGCACGTTGTTCAGTATTGGAAGGCCATTTTCAGCAGCAAATTTCTTACTCCTTTCGCATTTAGCCTCTCTGCATAAAGTTCCTCGGTTATATGCTCTAAACCAGACGGTCTCTAAACAAGAATGATACTCTAAAGAAAGGAAGCTTACGTGTAATCTGTGCCCTCGGGGAAAAGAGCAAGCCATAAAGCGTCTCGGGAATCCTTAAAACTCGAAAGTATCTGCCTCAAGTTTGCTTCATCGACTTCCCATTTCCGCTCAACGGGAATAAACTCAAAGAGGTGAAACGCCCAACCAAAGAGAGGTAATTTCATCAAACTGCTCTTAAGCACATATTTTATATTCCCAATCTGGCCTTTACGCAGTGCAAGATCCCAGAAGTACATCCAATCAACTTCTGTTCGGTGGTTTGCAATGAGCAATACTCGATCCTCGCAAGGAACCTTATCGCCAGAGAAGATAACTTTGGTCCTGTTAATCTTCTCAAAGAGGAAAGGCCACAAGGCGAGCCACGAACCAAAGAAGAAGGAAACACATTTACGGCTATAGCGTACGCTGAAAAGCCTCAACACTACAGCTGATAGGAACCCCCAGAATATTAACATCATAAAAGCTGTTGAAACTAACACCATCAAACATATTATACCTCTTAACACTCTAATCAGAGACAACTTATCAGAAATTTTTACGCTCTTCTTTTCCATTTTATACACCTTAAGATAATCTAATTAACCTCCCCCTGTAGTCTTCTATTCTTGATGCAATGAATCACAAATTTCATGAATCTCCTGTGACCAGAATCACCATCAGAGATGATATGGTTGCACACAACATACTTCACCTGCAGGTAATGATAAAGTAAATGATCAAAACTTATGAAATTAAGAATCTATAACAAAGTACTTATCAACAGAAAAACAATGTTTATAATTTAATAGACTAATTCAAAATCACACAATCTGATTAAAGTTGGATTAAAGTAAAGAAGAAGCTTGTATTCTCAAACAAATATATACATTGTCTAAAACAAAAACTGCTCACCAAGATAATCAAGATTTAAGCTCAAATCTCAGTGAGGATTCGAAAAAAAAACAATCAAGAACACAGAGCATTACAAATTTACTATTTGGCGATGCATTTGTGAAAATCAACTATTGGAAAAAAAAAGAAAATAAGACAGCGAAATGAACCAGATAGAAGAAGACAGCTTACCATGGAACTGAGCTTCCAGGTTTTATTTATAAACAAACAGTGTAAGAAGAAGAAGAATTTAATGGCCGAGAAAAATATCATGAAGGACTACGATCGTTTTGTGAAAACGGGCTCAGAGGTTGTTGCTAATTACGGTCTATGCCCCTTCTCTGTAGAAAGTACTCTTCGGAAGGTGAGGAAATTTAAACCACTGTCCCCTCCTTTTTCGTGATTATTAAATTCGACACGTCATCATGTTTCATTGTTCTTCCCATTATTCATGTTATTAATTAAAAAAATTAATCAAAATCAGTTTGTAAATTGGGCTGGGCTTTTAAAGCCCACAAAGGTTATTATACGTTTATCCTTATATAAGAGAGCAAGAAAAGGAAATAAGAAATTAGTTTCTTCTCCTTCAGAGTGTTTCTCCTTCCTCAAGTCACTTTTGAGTCGCTGCAATTTGGCGTTTGGTATCTGCTGCTCTTTCTCAGTCATGGATATCGATTTTAACGAGTACAAGCTCAGGTGCGAGCTTCATGGCCACGATGATGATGTAAGATCTCTTGCTAAATCCACTTCTTCTTTTACTGTTTTGATTTCTCGTTTTCGTGATCGATTATATTATAGATTTTGAAATTAAGTCTTGTATTTAGTAGGGTTTTAGTTAAATTCACCCTCGTGACTCCAATTCCCTTCTTCCGCTTTGCATCCAGTTTTTTTCCATTCTATGAACTGATTTGATAGTTAGTGTGAGGCTTTGTTCTGATTAGTATTTTTATTAGGTTAATCTCTCAGCGAGTACTCAATTTGAGAATTGTATCTAATAGGGTTGGATGTTTAACCTTGCGTGCCAATGGCATTAATATAGATCAAACGAGAAGAGTGAATTATTTTTCGGCAGGAGTGTGATTATTCTTTGTTTCTATATTCATTCAATTGTATCTTTACGCTATTGAGCTAATGAAATTGGAAAATAACTGTGATTGTGACACTGGATACTCATGGTTTATCAACATCTTTCAGGTTCGTGGGATTTGTGTGTGTAGTGATGATAATATAGCTACTTCATCAAGAGACAGAACCATCAGGGTTTGGTCACTGGATCCATCTGATAAGCGCAAGTACACCTCCTCTAAAATTCTGTTGGGTCATACAAGCTTCGTTGGGCCACTTGCGTGGATTCCACCAACTGATGATTACCCTGAAGGAAGACTCGTCTCTGGGAGTATGGATACTTTCTTGTTTGTTTGGAATCTGATAAATGGAGAGAATATTCAGACATTGAAGGGTCATCAGATGCAAGTCACTGGTGTTGCTATTGATAAAGAGGACATAGTGTCATCTTCAGTTGATCAGTAAGTCCTTCTGTTCATGTAATTTCCTTAGTATGAGATTTACCAACTGTTCAGTCATAATGCCTCTTGCTTAGTATCCAGTGAGTGTATTAGCCTGCAGGTTTCCTTCACTGTTTCCTAGTAATTGTATCCCATACGGGATATTATACAATTCTTAACTGTAGTTCTAAGGGTTTTACGAGTGTTAACTCTGTGCATTATTGTCTCGAGTAGCGTACTAGCTTCAGTAATACTGGGGTAAAGAGATCCATCAAAATTTGATTTACTCTCTACTGTAGTGTAGTGTAACTTAAGTTCCCGTTTATTTATTTTTATCTTAAGAACCCTCAAACGATGGAGAAACGGTCAGCTTGTTGAATCTTGGGAGGCACACAAGTCGCCTGTCCAGGCAGTGATAAAGCTGCCATCTGGTCAGCTCGTTTCAGGTACATCATCCAGCTAAAGCTGTCATTTGATGCATTTGTTTCTTTTTTTCTGTCATTTTCTTGATGTCAAGGACATTCTTATTCGATTGGTTTTTCTAGTATGATCGTTCTGCAAGCTTTGGTTAATAATGTTTTCGGTTGTTCTTATGATGCATATACTTCTCTTTGATTATATTTGACGGCATAATTTTCACTGAAGTTATTTGTACTTACCAGGTTCAAGTGACGCCAGTCTCAAACTCTGGAAGGGAAAAACAAGTCTGCAAACTCTTTCAGGGCATACAGGTGAATTTTGTTGCTCTCTCTCAAATTTTCGTTTCTCTCGAAATTTCCTTGCCAATATGAGAAACTGCATATCGGAAATAAGATAGAATCTGATGCTAGCTGCACTAAGATATCTTATCCTGCCAAGACATGACCTGTTGTCAGGGATTCCTTTTTATTGGAGAAACTATTGTGTTATACAAGTAATTATATTTTGCAATGCAGATACTGTTAGAGGGTTAGCTGTGATGCCTGATTTAGGATTTCTTTCCGCATCACATGATGGGTAAGTTATTCGCTTCCAACAAACTCATACCTTACTGAATGTCATTGTCCTACTGAATCCTTATGTGCTTAACTCGAATTGTGTTGTCTTTTGCATGACCTGGATAAGTTTTGTGATCCGGGGATAATATGATGCTTATGATTTCTCTTATTCAGCCTTTCATGTGTTTGTACACAGCAAAGGTTGTAAATCACTATTTTTTTTTTTCTAACAGTTCAATCAGATTATGGGCACTAAGTGGCGAAGTTCTTCTGGAGATGGTTGGCCACACCTCCCTTGTTTATTCAGTTGACGCACATTCGTCTGGCCTTATTGTTAGTGGCAGTGAAGATCGCCATGCCAAGATATGGAAAGGTGATTACGGGTTCCTTTGTATTTATTGATGCCTTGGCTGTTTATCACTTTTTTTGTGAAAGACGTGTTATAAATATGATTACTTAGTCACAACCTATGGAAAGTTAGTTGTTAGCATGTCAGACAGTAATCAGGTGATCAGAAACCAATTTGAAATGCTCACAAAGATTGGTCAGCAATAAATGTTATAATAGATATCACTTGCGAAAAGAGACTGACATTTTGGTTTAAAGCATGTTTAGATCTTATAGGTTGATCTGTTGTTCTTACTTTGTTGCTATTGTCTGGTACAGATGGAGTCTGCGTTCAGAGTTTGGAACACCCAGGCTGTGTCTGGGATGCCAAGTTTATGGAAAGTGGAGATATTGTGACGGCATGTTCAGATGGAGTGGTTCGTGTTTGGACAGTACGTCATGACGCGATTGCAGATCAGATGGAGATTGATGCCTATGATTCCCAAATTTCTCAGTACAAGTTGAGCAGGTAATCTGATCATTGAATGTTTTTTTTTCATGTGGCAATGCCATGACTTTGATTATATGACCTGCTGACGGGGTATGATTTCTTGTCTTTTATACTCAAAATATAACTGCAAAGTATATGCGTGTTATTCTTTATCTCAGGAAAAAGGTTGGAGGATTGAAACTTGACGAGCTGCCGGGGCTTGATTCTCTCACGTCACCAGGTACCACGTATTATCCAATTGATTGTATTATTAACCTTTCACACGGGTAGAAACACTAAGTTTTAAAGAAATCTCAAGAGAGCACATAGATAATTTCCCAGCTGTAATTGATAGTGTCTGGCGATCAAAGTTGAATAGATTAAGCTGAGCATTCTTGTAACATCATCTTCTCTTATTTGATGTATATTCTCAGGTACCAGTGATGGCCAGACAAAAGTAGTAAGGGAAGGAGACAATGGGGTTGCTTATGCATGGAATATGAAAGAACAGAGATGGGACAAAGTAAGTAAACAGAATGAACTTTTATCTTTTTTTGTTTGTTGACTGCATTTCTTTTTTGCTCTTGACCTGAATGCATGCTTTACTATTTATTAGATCTTATGCATGAATATACAGATAACTTCCCTTTGAAACAATTGCCTTGAGGAATATTTGTTAATTTGTTCATAGAAAAGTTACCATTGGCTGTCTGGTCATAAATTGATAGCATGTACTGCCAGCAAATTGTCACATGTATCAGTGCCTTTAGCGAGGATTTTAAATGCCTTAGTGGTTGATCTAATGTGGCAACCCAAACCTGGGAGGAAAATTGCATCTGATTTTGAATTCTGGTCGTCCTTTGAAGTAGCAATCTCTTAAGTAGATAGCAAGGATATGAGATAGATTTCTCTCTAACATTTGGTTGCATATGAAGGATTAAACATTGGCATTGTATTGTGTTAGAATGATTTGAGTTCTCACTGCATGCCTTTTTTCAGATTGGTGAGGTTGTTGATGGCCCAGATGGTGTGGCGGATCGTCCAATTCACGAGGGAGTTCAATATGATTTTGGTTAGATTTTGACCTATTATGGAAACTTGAGATCGAAGTGAACAAAATTCTTAGCCTTTTCTTTTCTCTAGTTTTCGATGTCGACATTGGTGATGGAGAACCTATCCGGAAGCTGCCTTACAATCGATCAGGTACCTGAACGCTCTTACTGGCCTTGTTTCTATTACAAGTGCAACCACAAGAAACTGCTTCAGTTTATGATACTTCAAATCTTTTCTTGTTTGGCAGACAATCCTTATGATGCAGCTGACAAGTGGCTTCTCAAAGAGAATCTCCCCTTTGCATATCGGCAGCAAATTGTTGAATTTATATTACAAAATTCTGGGCAGAAAGACTTCAACTTTAATCCATCTTTTCGTGATCCCTTCACTGGCGGTATTAAATCACATGTTTTCGAAAATAATTGGTCTGAAATGTTTTTTTAGGATTTGATTTTAATTTTGTTTTACCTTTTTTTGTGTAACAGCAAATGCTTATGTGCCTGGGCAAGCATCTCATACAGCTGGTATGAATACACTGTCTGTGTTATTTTCACATAATACTTTCAGTTTCGCGTATTGTTCTTTTGTTGCCTCATGCTCTGACTCTTTTCTGTTGTAGCAACTCCGGCAAAACCTTTATACAAGCACATTCCAAAAGTACGCTGGAATTCTTTCTTTATTAGTTATCACTGTTTAATGTTTCTAGCTTTTGATCCTTCTTTCTTCCATTACTCTCTACAGAAAGGTGTGCTAGTTTTCGATGTTGCTCAATATGATGGGATTCTTAAAAAGATGACAGAGTTCAATACTACTTTACGATCTGACTCAGTAAGTTTCAGTATCAACTTTTGTCACACGGAATGATTAAATGATTATATTACTTATACTATTGTTGGTATTTATGTTTCTACAATTTCTCCATCTTTTGAAGGTAAACAATGACAAGTCCCTGACCGAACTCGAAGTATCCAGAGTAGGCGCAATCGTTAATATACTCAAGGACACATCACACTACCACTCTACCAATTTTGCTGACATGGATATTGCTTTGCTTTTGAAAGTGCTACAAGCATGGCCACCTGCAATGATGTTTCCTGGTTGGTCTTCTCTTATCAATCAACTAGTCAAACAGAACTGTTTATTACATATTGAGCTTTTGATGGTAGCCATATGTTTCTCAGTATTATGAAGCCATAGCAAAATCAGTTGTTTCCAAGATGCTTGTATAACAATCTAAAATGAGATATGTTTTGGTTTATTTGGATGATATTCTTGGTTTCCATGTGTTTCTTTTGATGTTTCTTGCAGGCCATAAAGCATTTTGCCTTTCGCTGGCCACATTATTTTTGTCTATCGTTGGATATAAGTAGCCTTATGTTTTCTTTTGGGTTAAACTCTTATACCTATGGTTTTTGAATATGCAGCTACTGACATAGTCAGGATGCTCGTTTTGCATCCTCATGGAGCAAGTCTACTTATCAAGCATGTGGAAAACAACAATGGTAATCATCTATTGCGTGAAGCTATGCTTTCTCAACATTAATGAAAGTACCAGCTAATGTCCTTTATTAACTGGTATCTCTCTGTTACTATATTTCAATCAGACCTGCTTTTGGATTTGATAAAGAAAGTTACAGAAGATTCTGCTCTTCCTGCAAATCTTTTAACGACTGTTCGTGTCCTGGTTAATCTATTCAAGAATTCTTCATTTCATTACTGGCTGCAGACGCATCATAGTCAAGTACGTACTATTTCGTTTCTATGATTTTATACCATAACTAGGATGTGTGATGATCTTGATGAACCTACTATTGGTTTAGCTGTTTCTTACAGCCGGAGGAGGAACTTTTGGTTTCTGTGTCTAGTATCCATTGCTTTGTTGCGTCAGGGAATAGAAATGAAGTTTCTAATTAAATTTAAATATAGATATAGTGCCTATACAAGTGTGTTTTATTATATGATAATTTGATGAAGTGGTTTTAATTGCAGATTCTTGATGCCTTCTCAAACTGTTATTCATCCCCAAATAAGAATCTGCAGTTGGCTTATTCGACGTTGCTTCTCAAGTAAGACCGCTCTTAATATCTCTTGTTGGATTATTGCCAAATTGTAGCTTTATACTATTATACTCTCTGTGGAGAAGGTCAAACCGTGATCTGTGCTTTTGTTCTTCCTCAGTTATGCAGTGCTATTAATAGAAAAGAAGGATCAAGAAGGTCAAGCTCAAGTCCTTTCAGCAGCTTTGCAGGTGCGCTGAAATTTGGTGATTTTAACAACTTGCATAAATCCAATTCTTATCTCGTCACCGATCTCATCTGTTTTTATTCGTATCTGTACACAAATCTCTGAGATCAAAGGAAAATGGGGAGGACCAATGTACCATATAGTTTATTATCATTTTTGTGCTAAAAAGATTTAACTTACTACAGGTTGCAGAAGAGGAAGCTGCAGATGTTGATTCCAAGTTCCGGAGTTTGGTAGCAATTGGGTCACTGGTTAGTTTTCCCAAACAACTAGAGTAACTTACCCGCTTCTTGTTAATTACATAATTTAATCAGTGTGTTTCTGTAACATCAGATGCTTGAAGGTCTCGTGAAGAAGATAGCGATAGATTTTGATGTAGAGAGCATTGCGAAATCAGCAAAAGCCTCAAAGGAAGCCAAGATTGCAGAAGTTGGGGCCGATATCGATCTTGTAATTCGTCAGTAACCTTAAAAGAGAGTCTGTGATCAAACCCTAGATTTGGATTTTCGATGATTCCCTCAACATTTTTCATATGATTCAGAATCACTTTTCTTGAAATGCAATTCAATTTTTTTCTTTCAGATATCTGAATATAAACATATATTAAAAGTGAAAGCAGGGGAAGAGTAACTCTGTTCTTATGGCTTCCATTTGGAGTAGAATTTTTGATCACCCCACATTAACATTCTACTAAGCGAAACCCTAACGTTCTTCTTCTTCAAATGCCAATGTCTTGGCTTTATCCTCTTCCCCAAGCTAAACCCAAAATACTGAGGAAACTTCTTGAGCTCTTCAAGTTCTCTTTCCATGTCGTAAACCAGAAACTCGAACTTGGGCCTCAAGTTATCGTCAACACTGTATCCAAATATCGCCGGGATTCTCCCACAGACTCTAGCTGCTTCTTCGTGTTCGAATCCTATACTCTTCAAGAATCTCATCTTAGCTCTTAGCTTCTCAACTCTCGTGTTCAGCACGTGCGCGTTCGTCTTGCTCGCTCGGTTCAGATTCCGTAAACCTAGCTCCTTAAGGTAAACAAGCGTCGGTCTCAAGCAATACTCTACGTCGGAGAGGAGAATGTTCGGGCAATTTACGATTAAGCCCCTGGATTCTTCTACGGAAGCTCCAAGCTCGCCGGTGAGAAAATCGAAGACGGGATCGATTTTAGAAATGTCGAAAGTGGGAGAGAAGAGCTGTGGACAGAGGAATACGAGTCGTGGGAAATCTTCGTCGGAGATTCCTTTAGATTTGAGGAAGTTCACGGCGGAGAAGATAACGGGAAGATCATTCGCCGGAGGAGCAAGTCGGGGATTCTGAGGAACAATTCCGAGAGAAGAAAGGTGCCTTAGATTTTCACGGTGCGAGGTTTGGAATTTGAGATAGAGAGGTTTAGAGCTTGAAGGAGGAGGAGAAGACGACGACGAGAAAGACGAGAGAGGTTGAAGATGAAGTGAAGCAATAACAGCCATATCGATATCTTCACTTCTCACTTCTCATCCCGGTTCGATTTTATTTCTCTCTGTTGAAATAAACCAGAAATTAGTGTTTAAACCGGTTTAGTATGAGGCCGGTTCGGTTAAGTACTACATATTCATGGACCTTAATAGTATATTGGGCTAAAAGATTAAAGCCCATCATTATAAAAACCCTAGACCAGAATAATCTCTTTCACTGTTTCTTCTCTTCTCTTCGATCTTGTGATTCTCAAATCCAGAGCTCGTTCGGGAAAATGAAGGCAGTGATAGGCACAGTGGTGTCGAACAAAATGCAGAAGTCGGTTGTGGTCGCCGTCGACAGACTCTTCCATAACAAGCTCTACAATCGCTATGTCAAACGTACTTCCAAGTTCATGGCTCACGATGAAAAGGACTCCTGTAACATCGGCGATCGAGTAAATTTCTCTTCATTCTTTGACTTGAACTCTCATATTTTCTAGTGAATTTGAGATACATTGATCAAGAGCTCTAAATTTTATTGAGCATTTATTTAGGGAATGTTTGAACTCAACCATTACAAGTATACTTGCCTGTTTGTTTTTAGGCTGCTTTGAAAATGAAACTTGATTTGGTTATATATGAAATATTAGGTGAAATTGGATCCTTCAAGGCCTTTGAGCAAGCATAAGCATTGGATTGTTTCAGAGATCATAAAGAAAGCACGCATTTATTCTCCACTTGCTGCTGCTGCGGCTCTCAATTCCTCCTCTGCCTCCATTGCTGAGCAGTCCCCTGTTTCGTCTTCCTAAGGTGATTTAGTTTTTTCTCTGTGATTTTTTGTATCAGATTTTGTGTCACTTGCTAGTCCAGAGTAGTGTCCTTGGGTACCTTTAGCTAGTTTTTTTGTGGCGATATAGTGCTTGTTAGACATCTTGATGTTCCATTCTTAAGTTCCTGGAACCCATTTTGTGCTGCCTACATTGTCTTTGTCTTGCCCAGTACGATTTATAGCTTGTTACTTGTTAGGCATCTTGATTTGCATATACCGTAGTCTATTTTCTTTACCTTTTTGGTTGGTGAGGCTTTAAACCTCTGACTGTTCCTCTTGCTGCAGTTTTGCAGTTCAGGCGCAAACTCACCAGGGTCGGAAAAATGTGTTTCGCAGACGGTAGCATCATCATAAACAGAGAATGTGGTAATTGAGAACATAATCCATCAAGCTGTAGTGTAGTGCTTTTACTAGGTGATGTTGATCAGATTTTGAAATCCTGATTAGTTGTATGATTGATGATAATCCTGATTGGTAACAGATGATCTATTGAAAGTTAATTTCCACTCCAGCAAAGAAAAAGACTTATTCAAAAAGCCAACAAGTTTATAAAGATTGTGTTGGACAAATGTATTCATAAGTGGATGTTAAGAAAACCAACCTTACTCATCTAATTGGATATGAGCATTTGGAGAAAGTAAACGCCAATATGTAACAATGCATATAAGAGAATCCAACGCCAAAATTATTCAAATTCTAATGTGTCTTATGAAATGATTCTGGTTTGGATCCAAGTTTTAGACCAAACCAAACCGAACCAGCCTTGCCATGTCAGCATTGTAGCCACTACTCCAAATCCAATAAAACATTGATTGGTCTCTTGTAATGTTATGTGGGTCCCATCATATCAAGATGCAGTGGCAGACGCAGGAGAGAACTCTAGCTGAGTCTCATTTGTATCCAGAAAGATAATAAAATTTGTATATTTCCTGTTTCCTTTAAGATTCCTTGTCTGGTCGTGTACTAGTAGTGTTTTTCGTGATAGAAATTTTTCAAAGTTAATGTGCATTAGCTAGTGAAGAAGAAGAAGAAGACTAAAGAATAATGGAAGGAACCTGTTTTCTCCGTGGGCAACCTCTCACAACAATACCCTCTCTTCCCAGCAGAAAAGGGTTTCTTCTCCAAAGATGGAAGACCAATCGGATTGTCAGGTTTTCAGGTTTAAAGAATCACTCGGTTTCTGGAAAGTCCAGGTCTTTCGATCTTAGCATCAGGGCTTCAGGTACTACAAAAAGTTTCAAGCTTTTTCATTACACTACTTCCGCATCTTTTGGTTTGGCTTTGTTTGCTTTTCGTGAAATGAGACTTGCTCGATTGTGGCTTGTTTTTGCTGATGGTTTTCTGCAATGTTGCCGTTTCCCAAGTCTTCAATTCTAGTTTCAAAGTTCACATCTTTTCTACCTTTTGAGTTTTGATCAGACACCAGTAGTACCACCTTCAACAATTCTGGTATTGATGATCTGGAAATCATACATTTTTTACTTATCTCCCTACTTGTTATTGAACAAAGGTCCTGTAAGAGCAAGCTCTGCAGTTACAGAAGCAAGCCCTACCAACTTAAATTCCAAAGAAGAAGACCTTGTCTTTGTAGCCGGTGCTACTGGTAAAGTTGGTTCTAGAACTGTGAGGTTAGTTTCTTGCTTCCTTTAAGTTTGAATAATAATTCACAATGCTGGTTGGTTAAAGTGTCCTATCAATGTTCTCTTTCATTCAGAGAGCTACTGAAGCTTGGGTTTCGGGTAAGAGCTGGAGTTCGAAGTGCTCAGAGAGCAGGAAGTCTTGTGCAAGTATGACTTACTTTGATACTGAATATTTGCTATAGTCAAGTGTTTCATCAGTTTGGGTGATGTTTATCCGCAATTGATACTTCGCAGAGTGTTAAGGAAATGAAGCTCCAGAACTCGGATGAAGGAACTCAACGTAAGAACAGAATGTTTTGATTTACTTGCAATGATTTTGTTGTAGAAAAGTAACAGGCAGTGTCTGTGTCTTTAGCCCAGCTGTAGAAAAGCTTGAAATTGTGGAGTGTGACTTGGAGAAGAAAGATTCAATACAGCCCGCATTGGGAAATGCATCAGTGATTATATGCTGTATCGGTGCTAGCGAGAAAGAGATCTCTGATATTACCGGCCCTTACAGGATTGATTACCTCGCCACCAAAAACCTTGTTGATGCTGGTAAGACAAAAATGCGCTCAAAGCGGTTTTGTTGTCCATTCTCTGTTTTTTTATCCTCTTTCTTGTTTCATCGTTGCCTCTTTGGTATTATGATGCAGCAACCTCTGCAAAAGTTAATAACTTCATTTTGGTGACATCCTTGGGGACAAATAAATTTGGATTTCCCGCTGCGATTCTCAAGTAAGTCTGTAGTGCTTTTCTGTTATCACACACTTTTAAACTTAATGGCATGTTCTTGTTATATGAATTCTAAAAATCTTATTTATGAAGCCTATTCTGGGGAGTTCTTTGTTGGAAGAGAAAAGCTGAAGAAGCGTTGATTGCAAGCGGTCTCAATTACGCAGTGAGTAATTCACAAAATAAATTTAACCAAATTTACAGTTTCACAGACTCTTTCGATTGTATCATATCTTAGAATTTTGTCTTTCCATCTTATTTCATCAGATAGTAAGACCTGGGGGAATGGAGAGACCGACTGATGCATACAAAGAAACTCATAATCTCACTCTTTCGCTAGACGATACATTGTTTGGTGGTCAGGTCTCAAATCTCCAGGTATTAATATTTTCCCTCGTCTCTGACACAGTGATATGACACACTATGAAGAAGAGCTTTAATTTTTTTTGGTTTTCTGCTTCCTTGTTATTGATCTCCAGGTGGCAGAGTTGCTTGCTTGCATGGCAAAGAATCCTCAACTTTCTTTCTCCAAGATTGTGGAAGTTGTTGCTGAAACAACTGCACCATTAACTCCAATTGAAAAGCTTCTTGAAAAGATTCCTTCCAAACGTCCTTATGTGCCTCCACCGAAGGTTAGTTATATTGCTTTCATCTCCTCTCTTTTTCGATCTTGATTTTCGCTCTCTTGTGATAAGATGGTTTATCTTTATTTCTCTGCATTTCGGTCGTGGACAGGCATCAGTTGCAGCCAAAGAGGTCAAACCAGTCCCTACTAAGCCTGTCACTCAAGAGCCAATTGCTCCCAAGGAGGATGAAGCACCCCCAAAAGAAAAAGATGTGAAACCAAGGCCGCTGTCTCCTTATGCCGCGTAAGATAACTTGTTCCTCAACGGCAAAAAATCAAATATGTAGCTAAAATGACCTGTTGGCATGACATTGATTGTTTTCGATTTGTCTTGTTTCTTTTTTTTGTGAATATAATATAGCTACGAAGACTTGAAACCTCCAACATCTCCTATTCCAAGTTCGACCACGTCAGTCGGTCCTGCCAAATCTAAGGAGGTAGATGCCACTCAGGTTCCTGTTGAGGCCAATGCAGTGCCAGTGCCAGAAGTAGGAGAATTAAAGCTAGCTGTAGAAGAAGAAGAAGAAGAAGTAAAGCAAGCTGAGGAAAAGAAAGAGAGGCCTCTTTCCCCTTATGCCCGGTAAAACCTTATTATCTTTGCGGCTTTATTGAATTCAGGAGTCACTAGATTGAAATTGATTATGAGCGCCTGCATACAGTTTCTATTGCAATCATTACCGTTGGAGAAATAAAGGTGTGAGCAGATAATAAGTTCGAAAGTTTGATGCTTTTTCTACTTGGCCGTTTTGTGATGCAGCTATGAAGATCTAAAACCACCCTCATCGCCCTCTCCTACAGCTTCGGGTACCAAAAAGAATGATTCTTTGTCGCCTGGTCCAACAGATTCTGATACTGATAAAAGCTCAACAGTTGCAACAAGTGCCACTGAGACAGCAGTTGAAACAAGTGCCACAGAGACAGCAGTTGAAGCAAGTGTCACTGAGACAGCAGTTGAAACAAGTGTCCCTGAGACAGCAGTTGCAACAAGTGCCACTGAGACAGCAGTTGCATCAAGTGCCACTGAGACAGCAGCACCAGCCACACCAAGAATGAGGCCTCTTTCTCCTTATGCAGTGTAACAACTTTTTCTCTTCTGTATAAATTTCCTCTATATATCTAAATCGCTTGTGGTCTGTTTTTTCTTCAATGAATCTATACTGTCTTTTGCAGTTACGCAGACCTGAAACCACCAACCTCACCAACTCCTGCATCAACTGGTCCCAAGGAAGCAGCATCTGAGATAACAGCATCTGCAGAAGATAACTCAGAGTTGCGTGGAGGCAATAATGATGTGCTGAAAACAGTTGATGGAAGTGTGTAAGTATCTAGATGCCAAATTTAGAGTGTGTGTAGTCAAGGAATAAATCAATACAATATCTCAGATTTTTCGCTTGTTGTTTTGTCAGGAACACTACTCCATCTTCCTCTATACCGGAAGCAGTACCTGTTGTTAGCAATGCGATAGACACTTCCCTTGCTTCAGAAGACAATATAGCTCAGCCAAAGCCAAGGCCTTTATCACCTTATACAATGTAAGAGATACAGAGAGAGAGAAGCATGTTGGTTCTAAGTGTGTCCATTGTTACTATTACTTCATTTAATGTGAGCTGAGAGACTTCCATGTTTGCAGGTACGAGGACATGAAGCCTCCAACATCACCACTTCCTTCTCCAGTCATGAATCATTAGTTATGCGAGACGAGAATTGGCCTCTTAAACCATGGAGCTTCTTCTTAATTGCAGATTATAACCAGTGAGTGAGTGAGAGAGAGATGGGGCAATTCAGTTTTGCAGTAGAAGAATACAATATTCATCAATATGCCTTATGAAAGAGTTTTACTATTTTTTCTGCTGTTCAACGATCAATGAAGTAACCATATTGTTTCCCTATCTCATACATATATGACCCAAATTACTTATCATTAGGCTTTCATTTAACTGTCTTATATCTCTCTCTTCTATATTCTTCTCATTCAATCAATTTTATGTGTTTGTATAAAGATTTAATATAAAAGAACTGGGAAAATTTATAAGTATATGTATTCGTCCATTAAAAATTTGTATTTAGTGATAATAACGATTCATGAATGGATACTAAATTACTATGTGCATGGTAAGAAGTGCCAATACTCTTAGAAGTTAGTTGTGTTGAAAATGTGGTAATCGAGACAAAAACTGAGAAGACAAGAGAGTTGTCGCTTATGTCTTGGAGCGAAAACAACGGAACAGAAACTTAGGAAGTCACAACGAAGAACACAATCCCAAAAATGAATCTTCTATAAGCTAAATCACCTCTCATGAAAACATTTGGATTTACGTTTAGTCACATGGAACACTTCCTAACAAAAGTACAAAATCAACACTAACAACAATTTGTAAAAAAAAAAAAAGGGATTAATCCTATCAAGCAAAAACTTGTGTTGTGTCCTTTGCTATTGAAGACTAGGCAGTTAGAAACATTGAATAAGTACGGGGTTTATTTATTAAATATGCATCTCAAATTCTCCATGTTACGTAAGGTAGCTTTCTTATAGAAAAAGGTTCTTCTACTTTATCACCTTTCATCGCTTTTATGGCTTTTCTTTACCATTTCAATCAAGTGCTTAGTGCTTGCCAACTCCATCTCTTTAACCAAAAGAAACCCACCAAATACCTTTTCTAATTTACCATTAGTAACTCTTCCTGATAATGCTTTGTCAAAAGATGTTTTTATATATTCGTGAAATGCGATTACAAATATTTGAATTTTAGTGGAGCTTTTAAAAATGGTCCACTTGACTAATATGCAAACCATATAGATAACGTGGAGCTACATATCCTTAAAAATTTAATACTTTTCCAAATGTTAATAGCTATCAGCCTATCACTCGGAAAGTACTATGAGTCTATCGGAGTGTATCGTTTTTTTTTTTTTTTCCGGAGTGTATCGTTATCTCCATATAGACATAAAAGAAAAATTAATTTAGATATCTTGTAATGTATCATTTTTTTTTTTTTTTGGTTTAAATCTTGTAATGTATCATGACATAGAAAAGATAACGTTTCACTAAAATATAATACTGTGACTACTTTTTGTCACTCACTACAACATAAGATTAGTGTACAAATACGACCATGCATGTTCCAAATAATATAAATTTAGAATCTTGCGTAAAAAGAATCCGATTTAACATGTAATGAACTAACATTAGAATTTCACACGCAAAAAAAAAAACAGTAAATCTTCGATTTGTTAGTTGTCCTTTGTGATGTTTGCATAAAAAAGTAGTCTTTACAAAACATCAGACCCGATGTCAAACCAATAATTACATATTGTTTGTTTCTTTTGATGCAAATACCCCCAAAGAGAGACACATATTTTGTTTTATTTTAGGATATACACTTTATATTATTCATTAAAGCGTTTCAATCAAAGGCTCTTTCTTTTTTACATCAATCAAAGGCATTTCTTTCCAAGATCGGACTGGTTTAATGATGAAATAATTAGATAACCAAACTTAACGACTACCATGTAGATGAAATTTCTGCCATTCCATAACCAAACATATGGAGGGTCGAATTTGATATCTAAATCCTAAAAATATGTATTGGTTGTAAAAAAAAAAAGTCATTTATTGTAACATAAAGATGTTAGGTAAAAGAACAGATGAAAAATATCAGAGTTTAATATATTTTACATTTTTTTAATCAAATTTTTCTTAAAAAAAAGATTGTACACTTTGTATGATTCTTATTTAATTCTAGTGAGTAGTCTCATTCCATTCGTGGTATAATGCTATTCACTGCAATTTGCTTCTGTTCTTTAACCTTTCCTTTGTTCTTCTTCAGTAACTTTTCTTTTGTCACTATCTTTATTGTTTTATATCTCTCATTTAATGCTCTGTTTTCAGTGATTTTCAGCTGTTGGGTCGTTTTTACTTCTGAGTTTTTTCAAATCACAAAACTCTTCAAAATTAATTAGGCGGGGGATTTCAAGTTTTTCATACAAGTAGAAGACTCTTAAGACACTCATGACGACAAGAACTTCGAATCATAAACGTTCTAGAAGGTTCTGTCTCTTCTTCTTGATTAGTTTATATTTCATTTACTAGTCTTTTCTTACCTAGTTTCTGTATTTTCCAGCGACCCCGTCCCCAGAAAATCTCTCAAGAACAAGAAATCAAGTGAAACCCTTTACAACATCGATCGATTTCACATGGTTAGGAATCTTCAAAAGTGTTTAATCTTTTTCTTGATCTCTTTGTTCATCAAATGAACTTAAGTTCTTAATATTGTTCTTTAGGATGAACATTTGCAGAGAGAGATAGAACAGCTAAAATCTCTTCTGAAGTCCAGAAAATTACATCCCAAGAGAGTCTCAAGTGATGAGGTTTATGAAGTTTTCTCAGAAGACTTTTTGTAGGTTCTTTGAGAAAAATCAAAACAGATCTCAAATCTTTTACTGTTTATTATGCAGATTGATTTGTTGCTTCAAGAAGATGAAGTCTTAGTACGGCGTGAAATGGAGACAGTCCTTCGACGGAAACTGTTCTTGGAAGATTCTAAAAATGAAGATTCTTCTATCCCCAAGGTTAAAAAAGCCTCAATAAGCTTTGGTTACCTTTTAACACAAGTAAGTCCCCTTTGAATATCTTGTCTGAGGATGTTTTCATGATTTATTGATTTAGGAGGCAAAGAAACTGGTGAGGGAAATCGCGGGTTTGGAGCTGCAAGTGATGTACTTAGAAACATATCTTCTTTTGTTATATCGAAGATTCTTCAACAACAAAATTACATCTGAGTTAAAATCAGAGGGGAAAGAGATATCAGAAGCTATTCTTGGGAGTACTAAAGTCACTGATTCACCCAAAAACGCAGTCTGCAGTCCGCAGAAAGTTGTAGAAGACTCTGGAATATTCCGTAGTCACTCATCGTTGTCTCATTGTTCAGGCTATTCCTTTAGAATGTCTCCCCAAGCAATGGACTCATCATATCATCGATCTCTTCCTTTCTCAATGCTTGAGGTTAAAGAAATTATGTTAAACAGTTAATGTTGTTTTGTTTGAGTTTCTTTCTTTACCAATGGTGGTTTTACGTTTTCGCTTTTTCAGCAATCTGATATTGATGCGATGATCGGGACATATGTTTCTGAAAACGTTCATAATTCACCAAATAGTTTGTCTGAAGAGATGATCAAGTGCATCTTACAAGTATTTCGTCAACTTGCGGATCCCGAATCACTCGATGATGATCGAGAATCAAGCAGTCCTCCTTTCCGCGGGAAAGAGCGACTGAAGGTCATTAGCCGACCTTACGACAAATTATTAATGGTGAAATCCATATGTAGAGACTCAGAGAAGTTGAATGCAGTTGAACCTGCTTTGAAACATTTCAGGTTTTTCAATCTCAGGCTCTTACAATATGATCAACTTCTTTTGGCTTATATAAAATTAACTCTGTTATTTAATCAAATTGTATCCTTCTTCTTCAATTGAAAATGTTTAGGTCGCTTGTTAATAAGTTAGAAGGAGTGAATCCAAGGAAGTTAAATCATGAAGAAAAGCTAGCTTTCTGGATTAACATACACAACTCTCTGGTTATGCATGTAGTGCTAATTTCTCAAACTAAACTTCTTTTAACAAGATCTTGCTGATAAATCTCTCTCGATATTCATTAGCTATTTTGGGTTTGTTTTTGTCTCTTTTGCAGTCGATACTTGTCTATGGGAACCCTAAAAACAGTATGAAAAGAGTATCAGGGTTGCTGAAGGTAGGGTAATCTTACTAAGTACTAACAGTGCAGAACTACTTGGGACACAAGTCATCGGTAAATTAACAATGACTAGGATTTTTCTATTGTGTAATATAGGCAGCGTACAATGTTGGAGGTCGAAGCTTGAACTTAGATACCATTCAGAGTTCAATCCTTGGTTGCCGTGTCTCTCGTCCAGGACAGGTAAGTCTATTATTGATTTCGATACTGAAAGTTCGACTTAACTTGATGAGGGCTAATAAGGATTGTGTATTTTGCAGGTATTTAGGTTCTTATTTGCTTCTAGATCAAAGGGTAAAGCTGGAGATCTGGGAAAAGACTATGCTATAAATCACTCTGAGCCTCTTCTTCATTTCGCTCTTTGCTCGGGGAACTTGTCAGATCCATCAGTAAGCAAATTAAATCCCCTGGCTCAACATCGTTTCTTATCTTACACGCTATTCATATGATGAAGATTAGGTTTTAAAGCAACACGATTCTTTTAGGTTCGTATATATACCCCAAGAACGTGATGATGGAGCTCGAATGTGGTAGAGAAGAGTATGTAAGATCAAACCTAGGTATTTCCAAAGATAACAAGATTCTTTTGCCGAAGCTTGTTGAATTATATACCAAGGATACTCAACTTTGCAACGTCGGTATTCTCGACATGATCGGAAAATTTTTGCCTTGTGAAGCAAGAGATAGAATCCAGCAGTGTCGGAACAAGAAGCATGGAAGATTCTCCATAGATTGGGTGGCACATGATTTCAGATTTGGCTTGCTTCTCTGAGAAGAAAACACGAGTCATGAACCGTGGTTTTTTTTCCTTTTTTTTCATCTGATGTGAGCGATGAATATAAGAACTTCCATTGTGTCAAATTTTCTAGTTATGAGATGATATTTAAGTGTAGAACTCAAACTATGTAAGTGATAACACCAGATCTATTTATCGTTGAACCCAAGAACTGTGACAGAACAGAATCAAAGACAAGGGCTCACAGTGTCAGGGGAAGAAGAAGCACGTGGGTGATCTTAACCGGGTTACATTCCCGGAAACATTGTCTTCTTCAAAAGGGTCCCTTAAACCTTGTTCTGTTTAAAAATATTTTGGGTATTAACTGGGCTTTAAATTGGGCCTTGTTAGATTACTATCAGGTCCATGTGGCACTCACTCTTCGAGATATTTACTAAATTGGCAATTGGGGAAGAGGAAACCCTAGATTTGCTGTTGTATTCAGAAATGGAAATGACGATATCGGAACTTCTTCCAAAGGATTTGGTAGAGGAGATACTCTGTCGCGTTCCGGCGACATCTCTGAAACGATTACGATCTACTTGCAAAGCATGGAACTGTTTATTCAAAAATGATCGGAGATTCGCAAGTAAGCATTTTGATAAATCCGCGAAACAGTTTCTACCACTATTGTTGAGGACTGACTACAGGATTTTTCCGATAAGCGTCAATCTCCATGGAAATAGTCCATCTCTAGAGTTTAAAAGTGCTCTAATAGAGCCTGATTCTAAGAATTCAGCAGTTCGATTTGAAATAACTCGAGTCTTTCACTGCGACGGTTTGTTGTTATGCTCCTCCCAAATCGACGCATCTAGAGTCTTGGTTTGGAACCCTTTAACTGGTGAAACAAGGTGGATCAGAACCGGCGATTTTCACAAAGAAAAAGAAGGCCGCAGCTATGATCTCGGATACTACCACAAATCTTCCTGCAATAAGAGCTACAAAATGTTGAGCTATTATCGCCGTAGCATATATTTTGAAATCTACGATTTTAACTCTGATTCATGGAGGATTCTTGATGATATGATCGGAGACGTGAGCTTTGGATACTCTGAACTCAGCGTGTCTTTGAAGGGAAATACTTACTGGTTGGCTAGAGATGTAAACGAAACGCCCCGCACCATATCCTTGCTCAAATTTGATTTTTCAACAGAGAAATCTGTTCCTGTGCCTCTTCCCTATCAGAGTCTTCAGAGTAGCCGTTTTGAAGCTAGTAGCCTTTCCGTTGTTAGAGAAGAGAAACTTTCTGTGTTATTACAGCGAGATGAAAGTTCTAAGACTGAGATATGGGTGACAAATAAGATTGATGACACCACCAATGCTGTTTCTTGGAGCAAGGTCTTAGCATTGGATTTGAGCCCTGATCCTCAGATTTGGTATGATGCAAGTTTCTTGCTAGAGGAGGAGAAGAAAGTCGTCATTTCTTGTGATAGATGTGAGAGATTGATTGGCGGCGGCGACAACAACAACATATACTTGGACAAGGCCAAAGACATGGTCTACATTGTTGGGGAGGATAATGTAGTCACTCAAGTGGAATGTGGAGTAGATGAAATGGAAGGATGTTGGCCAGTTATTCTTAATTATGTTCCAAGTTTGGTTCAAATCCAGCGAGCTGGAGGCAAAAGGAAAAGAGGTGACTAAACAAGCTCTATTACATGTAATCTCTCTTTTGTGTGTGTGTGTGTGTATGTTTTCTTAATTTATCTTGCTTTGAACTGATATTTCATTAAGATGTTGTATTGTCAGATGTTTCAATTTCTCAATGTTCCTTGCTTTGACACAGTTTTTTAAAGATTATGACCAAATCATGTCTTGTAGAGCAGATTTCTAAAGAAGAGATCAGAATTATGTTTCAAAATTCCAAGCTTTTCAAAGTCCTTAGCAAAAGTGATTCATTAAACATGTACAAAGCTTTTGTACTGGTATTTTCTCTGAGTTTTCTTTTCACCCAAGTTACAAGTTGTACAACTAGAAATCATCACCTAGAATTCATTAAACATGTACAAACAAGTATCGATTATCTGTTTATCCAGTTTAGTTATTCTAAATTAAATGCACATAACCAGTTTATCTCGGGAAAGAGGAAAGATGAAAAGCCCTAGATTATTATATTGAGAGCCAAATGCTGCCGTTTTCTTCAGTGATAAAAAATGACGTTACCAGAGCTTCCAAAAGATTTAGTAGAAGAGATACTCTGTTTTGTTCCGGACACATCTCTGAAACGATTACGATCCACTTGCAAAAGATGGAATCTTTGGTTAAAAGATTATTAGAGATTCGCAAGAAAGCACACTGACAAAGCCGCAAAGCAGTTTCTACCTCTCATGTTGACCTTTAAGCTCTGGGAATTCCATTACCACTGGTTCTGATCTACAACAGATAGCCACTGAAAGCTGTTAATTGACCATTCACAAAAAAAGAGAGAGAATGTTTTCAGTTGTACAAGAGATTACAATCGATTCAATGCAAAAAGACACGGCCTTACAGAGATATAGACTTGTAAGAAACGGCCTAGTTGAAAAGCCGAGTGCCCCAAGGACCAGTTAACTCAGGTTTAATTATTTGCTTTAGAAGATAGGTCATATCGCTTCGGTGTGCAGACACGACCATTAAGGCCTCAAAATATAGTGAATGGTCTGACAGGATTAAGCGACCTGAATAGTACTGTGGCAAAAGTGAGTGGTACGTACACATGCCAAGACCGTGACTATTGAGAAAATACAATCAATACCTGGCTGTCCCGTCTATTTCCAGAATCTTTTCTCTTTTTGATCGAACACCAGAACATACTTGTCAAGTATTTACCTCTCAAGGCCATATAAATACTTGTCGTAAACAGAGAACTGAAGCCGACCACCCGTAGATGATGTAAGCATTTCAAACAGATTTTCACATATAATCACATATGCTATTATAGGAACTGCTGGTGCAATCCGTGAGAAGGCTTCTAAACTCACTGTTGCATCTTCTTCTACCTATTTCAAATGAAAAAGATGATAAAGAAAAGATTCTTTAAGGATTGCAGAAGAAATGAGAAAAAGGAGCCTTACGCTGAGTAAGGCCTGGCTGGCAACAGCTGGGACTTCCCAGACAACCATCATGTCAAATGTTAAGCGTCGAAACTTTTTATCGGCTAGATGACCTGTTACTCCCACAGATAGTGAAAGAGCCCTGACACAACAGTACTCTAGAAAGTTCCTTGCAAACAGAGAAGGCTGCTTTAGAGATTCAAATGCCTCTTGTTTGAAACTATCTCTCAGCTCGTTTGCAGAAACACCGAGTAATGGGTCCTCTCGATTCTCAGATTCTGCCTTGATTTTGGGTTTAACGAAAAAGAAAACACGCAAGAAAAGCGAAGCACGACGACGGAGGAGGAGAGAAGCGACGGATATCGGTGAAAAAGCTCTGATTCGTTCCCGGCCTTGCTGGTTTCGTTAAGACACGGTAAAACGTGTTTTTTACACGTCAGCAAACTTGACGGTTCAGATTAAATCAAATGACCTTCTCATTTAATCTTATCTCTACACGTGTCTTGTTGGAACAATAATCAATCAGGGGTTTTCCAGATAAGTACCTCTTCTCATCAGGTGTGATTTTCTTCCGACAAAATTCAGATAAAACACATCATGCTGATTCTTTGTTTCAAATTAATCACATTCATTAGTTAGTGTTGTTTACTCTATGTTGTCATTGATCCTTTTTGCTTTATGTTTATTTTTTTTGTCAATCTACATACTATCGAGCCAGTTAAGCGAACTGCACTCTAGGTATCTTGGGTATAGTCATGCCTCGGATTGATCTTTGTAGTTTCTAGTGCTTAACCTGTATTAAAATCTTTTCCTACATATGATACGACACTTAGCACATTATTCTTTACTAGTATATGATGTGATCTTAATCGCGACAAGGAGGACTCTATGACCGTCTAAGAAAGACCACGCAACCGCACTTTGACATCATGTCCACAAAGCCAAAGTGCCAAATTTGATAATATTGTGTTGCCTGCAGAGATTGTTAGCAAGCAATATATTAGTCATAGGCTTGACGGGTCCAAGATCATGTATATGAGTAAATTAAAGTGAATAAAAAAAATTGTTTCACTTTAAATGATGTTCTACATTTTCACTACAAAATATTTCTTATAATTCGTGATAATTTGTATTTTATATTTTGATTTTTTATTAATTAACCAATCACATCTGAAAATGCATTGTTTTAATTTAGAAAAATAAATGGTTTTTAAATTTGTATGAAAAAATCGCCTTCAAATTCCGCGGGAAACATATATATAATGTATTGAATATCGGTTTCTGGTTTAAAGTTTGAAAAGAATAATTAAATGAGTATGAAAAATCGCCTTTAGATTCCGCGGGAAACATAAGTCTTGAGTATCGGTTTATCGGTTTAATTTTAAACTTATAGTTCAATACCAAAAGAGGAAAGGTGAAAACCAAAACCCTAAAATAATATTAAGAGCCACGTTATCTTAATAGATGAAATGATAACATTACATTGAGAGCCACATGCTGCCGTTTTCTTCGGAGACCAACGATGACGATACCAAATCTTCCAAAGGATTTGGTAGAGGAGGTTCTCAGTTTTGTTCCGGCCACATATCTGAAACGTTTGAGCTCTACTTGCAAACCATGGAACCGTTTGATCCACAACGACAAGAGATTCGCAAGAAAGCACTTCGATAACGCCGCAAAGGAGTTTCTGGTTTTCATGTTGAGGAAGAACTTCAGGATTTGTCGGATAAGCGTCAATCTCCATGGAGCTGATCCATCTGCAGAGGTAAAAGGTGAGCTTACCCTACCAGATCCGTATTTTAAGAACTCAGCTGATCAATTCAAGATAGATCGAGTCTTTCACTGTGATGGGCTATTGTTATGCACCTCCCAACTCGAACGTAGAATGGTTGTTTGGAACCCGCTTACTGGTGAAACCAAGTGGATCCAAACCCGCGAACACGGCGGCACCTTTGTTCTCGGATACTCCCAAGACAAGAACAAATCCTGCAAGAAGAGCTACAAAATCATGGGCTTTTATGATCGTAGTTCTGAATTTTTGGAAGTCTACGATTTGAACTCTGATTCATGGAGGGTTCTTGATGGTATCCGTCCAGAATGGTACTTGGGATGCGCTTATCGGTGCGCGTCTTTGAAGGGAAATGCTTACATGCTTGCTATAGCTATAACAGAAGGAGTAGGCTTAACCCTATCCTTGCTCAAATATGATTTTTCAACAGAGAAAAATGTACCTGTAGTGCCTCTTCCTTTTCCCTCTCAAGCCCATAGTTTTAGTGAAGCTAATTGTCTTTCCGTTGTTAGAGGAGAGAAACTTTCCCTGTTATATCGGCGAGATGAAAGATCCAAGACTGAGATATGGGTGACGAATAAGATTGATGAGACCATCGAAGGAGCAGTTTCTTGGACCAAGGTCTTAGCATTGGATTTGAGCCCTCATCTTCAAATTTCGCTTACTTCAAATTTCTTGGTAGACGAGGAGAAGAAAGTCTTCATGTGTTGTGTGAGATTGAGGGAAGACGGAGACGAGGACAAGTCCAAAGACAAGGTATACGTTGTTGGGGAGGATAATAATGTCAAAGAAATTGATTCTGGAGTAAATGCAAGCAGTGGATGTTGGCCAACTATTCTTGGTTATGTTCCAAGTTTGGTTCAAATCGAGAGAGCTGGAGGCAAAAGGAAAAGAGGTGAATAAACAATCTCAACTACATGTAATCTCTCTTTTGTGTGTGTGTGTGTGTGGGTTTTCTTAATTTATCTTGCTCGTGTTCTTTGAATAATATATCGTAATATTTCATTAAGATGTTTTGTTTTGTCAGATGTTTCAATAGCTCAGTACTGTTCCTTGTTTTAAACACAGGTTTTTAATAAAAAAAGGTTTTATGATCAAATCATGTTGTAGGGCAGATTTCTAAAGAAGAGATCAGGATTATGTTTCAAAACTCCAAGCTTTTCTAAGTCCTTAGCAAAAAAGATTCATTAAACATGTACAAAGCTTTTGTACTGGTATTTTCTCTGAGTTTTCTTTTCACCCAAGTTACAAGTGTTACAACTATAAATAATCACCCATTCACTTTTAAAGTTCTGCCACTAAGCCAAGCATGGTATCTTACAAATATACTATGTTCCAAGTTTGGTTCAAATCGAGCGAGCTGGAGGCAAAAGGAAAAGAGGTAACTAAACACCTTGTTCTTTTCTTTTCTTTTCTTTGTGTGTGTGTGTGTTTCTCTTAGTTTATCTTGGTCATGTTCTCTCAGTTTCAAGCTTTTCTAATTAAAAGTGATTCAGAAAACATGTTACAATTATACAACTAGAAATCATCTCCCATTTCACCTTACAAGTCGTACCACTAAGCCAAGCATGGTATGTTGTTTATATCTTACAAATACACTGCTTAAGGTTGCAAATATTGGACCAGAAAACAATCTCCAAAATCCAAATTATATACTTGAAACCACAACTTTGCATGTTTCATTGTTTTGTATATTGTAACGTGCCAGGCAAGGATCAAGAGATACGCTGACATTTGGGTAAACATGGCCGAGGTATCCAGTCCATTCTCTAGTACCTGCTTGTGTACAAAAAAAAAAAAACAGCAGTAACATAGCACTAAACAGTCCAATAGAATGGCCAATTGAAACCTTTGATTCCATGTGAACACAAATTATATTATTTTTTACCATGTCTCAGTTTGGCTAAACAAATCCTAAACAAGATTGTGTAAATGGACATCAAGAAACCGCTGCATCGATCTCTCTTGCTTCACTACAGCACAAAGAGAGGAATAACAAAGCTTAGCAAGTTAGCAACACTAAGATCACAAAATGTAAAAAGAAAAAAAAAACAGAGCTTAGCAAGTTAGTAACACTAAAATCAGGGTTATACATGCTTCGAGTCTTTTTAGCACCAGAGGAAAACCTTCACAGTTCTACTAACTAGTTTCAGAAAATTGTCATATATACAAGAAAACCAATGCTCATGGGAACGAAATAGGGGAAATTTGGTAGCCTAAGGATTTTGTGCAAATATATGGGCTTTAAGGTGGGCCTTGTTAGATTCTTATCAGGTCCATGTGACTCACTATTCGACATTTTACTGCTGAACTAAATTGGGAGAAGAGAAAACCCTAGATTTGGTAAATTCAGAGATCAATGAAGACGCCGGAGCAGCTTCCAAAGGATTTGGTAGAGGAGATACTCTGTCGCGTTCCGGCAACATCTCTGAAACGATTACGATCTACGTGCAAAGCATGGAACCGTTTATTCAAAAATGATCGGAGATTCGCAAGTAAGCATTTTGATAAATCCGCAAAACAGTTTATACCTCTATCGTTGAGGAATGACTACAGGATTTTTCCGATTAGCTTCAATCTCCATGGAAATAGTCCATCTTTAGAGCTTAAAAGTGAGCTAATCGATCCTCATTCTAAGAATTCAGTAGCTCAATTCGAAATATCTCGAGTCCTTCACTGTGAGGGACTGTTGTTATGCTCCTCCCATGTCGATGAATCTAGAGTCTTGGTTTGGAATCCTTTAACTGGTGAAACCAGGTGGATCAGAACCGGCAATTTTCGCAAAGAAGGTCGTAGCTTTGATCTCGGGTACTCCCAAGATGACAACAAATCCTGGATCAAGAGCTACAAATTGTTGAGCTATTATCGCGGTACCAAATATTTTGAAATCTATGATTTTGACTCTGATTCATGGAGGATTCTTGATGATATCATCGCTCCCCGCGGGAGCATTGGATACTCTGAACTTAGCGGGTCTTTGAAGGGAAATACTTACTGGTTGGCTAGAGGTGTAACAGAAACGTCCCGCATCATATCGTTGCTCAAATTTGATTTTTCAACGGAGAAATCTGTACCTGTGCCTCTTCCCTATCAGAGTCGTCGTTTCGAAGCTACTAGTCTTTCTGTTGTTAGAGAAGATAAACTTTCTGTGTTATTGCAGCTAGATAAAAGTTCCAAGACTGAGGTATGGGTGACTGATAAGATTGATGAGACCACCAAAGTGATATCTTGGAGCAAGGTCTTAGCATTGGATTTGAACCCTCGTCTTCAGATTTGGAGTGATGCAAGTTTCTTGCTAGGCGAGGAGAAGAAAGTCGTCATGTGCTGTGAGAAATTGATTGATGAGAACAAGGTCAAAGACATGGTCTACATTGTTGGGGAGGATAATGTAGTCACAGAAGTGGGATTTGGAGTAGATGAAATGGATGGATGTCGGGCAGTTATTTTTAATTATGTTCCAAGTTTGGTTCAAATCGAGCAAGCTGGAGGCAACAGGAAAAGAGGTAACTAAACACTGTCTACATGTAATCTCTTTTCTCTGTGTGCGTTTGTTTCTCTTAATTTATCTCTGTCATGTTCTTTCAGTTTCAAGCTTTTCTAATTCAATGTCAAAAGTGATTCATAAAACATATTCAAAGATTTCACCTTATCTCTTCTCTGAGTTTTGTTTTTTCACCCAAGTTATAATAACTAGAAATCATCACCCAATTCACCTTAGCAGTTCTACCACTAAGCCAAGCATGGTATGTTGCAAATATACCAATTGGTGCTGTCTCTATCTTTCAAATAGCAAATATTAGACCAAAAAACAATCCCCAAACTACTTGAGACCACAACTTTGCTTGTAACGTGCCAGGCAAGAATCAGGAGATATCGCTGAGATTTGGGGTAAACGTGGCCGAGATATCCAGTCCATTCGGTATGACCTGTTTGGGTAGAAAAACCAACAGTAACATAGCATCACTAAACAGTCCAATAGAATGGGTAGTTTTAGTAGATGTGGTTGTGCGATTCTTTGTACAGAAGACAAACCCTATAAAAGACATAAATGATCATCGTGTATCGATCTCCAGTCGGGTTTTCGATTGGGCGCAACAAACCAAAAAAGTTGGGAGAGCAGACTTTCGCACTGATAATTTTTTGTCGCCGGAGATCCCCTCAATTGACCAGATTGGACAACCCTCCACGGCCAGATAGTTATATAAGAGTAAGGTAACATGAACTTCAGATCAAGCACCAGCAAGATTACAATGTCAGCGATCTCCTCAACCTTGTTCTGTTTTTCTTACTAAAACCGGATATACTAAAAAGCCCACAATGTTAATTCTTACAGGGACGCAATAGATCCAGATCTTCTCAGTGGTTAACGTCATTCATCAAAATGTTAAATCATCAATTATTTTGGGTCAAAAATTTAATCGACAGCTAATTACAAAGTTTAGCGACATAAAATTCCGGTAACAAAAAAACAATAAGCCACCGACGATATAAAGTTATTATAGAAACGAAATTTAATGGGTTTGTTGACTTTCGTTTCTATAATAACTTTGGCAGCTTTGGAAGTTAATGCATTTTGATAACTCCAATAGAAAAGAAACGAAAAACGAAACAACCAAAACGTCACCGTACAGGCTCCAAAACCTTCATCGTCTTGGCGTCTCTGGTCTGAGATAGTAATAAAACAAAGTTCGTATAGTAGTCAGGAAAATTCAACGTACATAGTAATAAATTATTTATTTCTCTATGACTATACGTTATATCATTCATAAATGAAATCCGTATTTTAGCTGCATTAAATAAGAGAGGTGAAGAAATAAAGGTATGGCTATTATTTATTTATACTTAGAAAATAAAATTAAAAAAACGAACCTTGTTGTGAGCAGCTGAGCAATTTCTGAACCTCTCTATCTTCTCTGTTTCGTTCATTTTAATTCCATTAAATGCTTAAACCCCACATTCCATTAATGCTCTCTCCTTCCACTTCAATTTTTTTTCATCACCACCGTCCAAATTTCATGTTACATCTCTACCCTACACGTGTCTCTTCTTCTCCATCTCTCCGGCGATAACAGTGCCTCTGGATCTCCGCATCTTAACCGGCTCGATGAGTGCGGTGCTGTTCTGAAGAACATCGGACTCGTCATTGATTTCGTCCGCCGCGATGAGCTTCCCGTCGCTGGAATCCGTTCCGATATCGGGTAAAACACTCCCGCCGATGATCTCCGTCGGAAGAACGGTGATTTCGTGCTTCTGTAGTAACGGAACGAGAACACTCTTGATTTCGAAATTAGGTTTCCGAACGGTGATTGACGTTTGTTCCATGTAGATCTCCGGTATCTCCATGGAGACACCGTCGCTGGCTCCATTGTTACTCTCTCTGATTCTGATTCTCTCTCGCATTCGAACGAGTACGATCTCTTCAGCTCCCGGAACCGAGACATCCCCGGTGATGATTGCTCTTCCACCGACGCTGTGATCTCCTGATCGTTCGTCGTCACCGCCGTAGCAGCGACTGTGTTCCAACTGTTCCGCGACGGTGTGATTTCGCCGCGGATGATGATCGCGTTAGTCTCAGCATCATCATCGAGGCTCGGACGAATTCGAGGAGCCATTAACGGAACGAACGGAGACATAGGCGTTATAACTCCGGCAGCGGCGGATCCGAGAATCGCCGTACGGCATAACGGACAGTTAGGGTGAGATCGGAGCCATTCATCGATGCATTCAAGGTGAAAAGCATGGAAGCATAACGGGAGTGTTCGTACATAATCACCTTCTTCGAATTCCAACAAACAAACAGCGCAATCTCTGCAATTTGCGGCGGAGGTTTTCCCCACCGCGGTTTTCCCGGTGCAAGCGGCGGCGGAGTAGAGAAATAACGGTAGTGTTTTGATGACGGAATCATCTAATCCGTAAGGAGAGTAAGAAGAGTAATGAAAAGAGTCGAAAGGGAAAGGGGAAAACGATCGGAGATCAGAGGATGATGTTGAAGCAGAGGAAGCTGAAGATAGGTGAAGGAGACGGCGCCGTCGGCATCGCCACCGTCTAAAACGACGGAACAGAGGTGAAAGAAAACGGCGGGAGATGAGACGAGAGTAAGTTACGAATAGAAAAGCGGCGGCTAGAACCACCACCATGGCGATCAATGGAGGACTAAACTCCAAAGGAGGATCTGAAGAGCGGGAGAGAATCTCTTCGGTTAAACCGGAAGATGGTGAAGGAGACGGTGAGATATCGCCGGAACGAGGAGGTGGCGCGACAAATCGCATGGTGGTTTGGTTAAAAAAAAAAACAAAACCAATAAAAGTAGAACAAAGAAAAGAGTCTGAAACAGAGGTTCCAGTGAAAGGTTTAAACGTAAATGTGTATTTGGGGAATTTGGTGGAAGGGAAAAAACGTTGACTAAAGGTAAACGGTATTGGGAAAAATAAAATTAACACGTCAGTGTTTTTTTTTTAATGCAAACAAATACGACGATCCAAAATTGATTCATAATTAATCAAATAACTGCAGATTTGGGTACATTATGTAGGTACAAATTGAGTAGTTAGGGGATATAATTATATAAAAAACTAACAGTGAGATCATAATATAGCTAGGATTAGGAAGAAGAGATTAGCAATCTAGCAAAATGGAATGAGGGGATAGAAAAAGAAGAAGATAGTGCTCTTTTAGGGTTGTTTGATTTTAATGTGGATTTGATGTGGTGACCCACTCTGATACTAATGGTTTGTGGAACTTTATTAAGTGGATTTTTGCGACTTTTTTTTTGGTTGATGGTTGGATCAAAGCCTTTTTGAAAATTCTTCTTTCTCTATTTTTCAGTCTTTATCTCCATTTGTTCATACTGGGGTGCTCATCCACTGAACTAGGATTTTTCCTTTTTTGGTGATATAATGAATTTCTACTTAGTTTTAACAAATTTTTACTTCACTTCACTACAAATTTTAGAAGTAGAAATTTGTTATAATTAATCTTTAGTTTTTCTTATTAGACAATTCTCTTTTTTACAGTTGTATCTAAGTTTATCATTCCTATGATTTATGACCAATTACATGCTTATTCGGTGGAAAAGAAATTCCACGGATATTTCATTTAATGAAAATGACATCATATGTGAATGTTCAGGTTTACTAATATGATAAAGTTCAAGAATCAAGATTATGATAGTCAAGTCAAAGACTGTAATTTTTAAACATATATAGTTTGTACTAGTCTTCAAAATATGTGAGAAAAGAAGTATTCCACTAACCAAATTACATGTACATAAGTTAGGTCCCCTAAGAACCAAAAACTACTTGCATGTATTTTTCTTGGTCAGAAATTACATATATATAATTCTGGTGGCAATAAAGGTGCAAATTAAAACCCGTCAGAAGTACTTGCCTTGGCCTATCTATACAATAAAACACAATGACTCCACAATTTATTGCTCAACTACTTTCTTTTTGTTAGTCCCGGAGATGTTTCTTACTACATTATTGTTCATGCAAATATTACTATTTGTTTGCATCCACAGAAAAAACGCATAACCGGTCACATCAAATACATTATGCATTCCGGTCTGAGACTTGAGTTTAACTGTTTAAGTGATGTTCGGTTTAAGATTCAGTACACGGATTCTGATTTAGCGTCTTATCCTCGTTGTTTAGAATCTTGTTGTCCCAAGGGCCACTACTATAATACACCCAACATTTATGATCCAGAGCTTATACCAAATTTCACATTATACCCATTGTTCAGAAAAAGATTCACGTCTTGATTAAAACATAATTTCAGAACGTGATTGAATCTCACCTATTTTATGATTCTGTCTCCCTAGATACATTTTACTCTAATAATGAAATTCTACTTGTTATGTTTTGTTATACAGTAACAGATTTGATGATGAAAAACTGAGAAAAAAAGAGGCGTCTCTATCCAATTAAACCATCTCAAATGTTCATAAACTTCTCATTGGATCATAATTTTACTACTACAACAACCTCGGTGTCTGACTCTGTGAGCTCAACAACAGTCTTAAAACATGGACATATCTGGAGGAGCTCCATACATACTCTTCCATGAATACGGTATCCGCCATTTCCCACCTTCTTCCCCTGCAGAAAAGAATATTCATAGTAAGTTTCATCGCCTCGCATGATTGATTGCCCGGGTGTTATTACCCTCGGAAGAAGAGAACTTATTACCGTGGAACTTGTCAGGAGTCAGACCCGTAAGCTTAGATGCAGCCTCGGCTAGAAGAAATGCTTCAGGAATGTTGTCTCCTTCAGAACAGTAACATAGCAGGCATGTCACCTTCAAGCCTCTTGCCTAACCCCAAAACAACATAAATCCCGCACAGGCCATATAAGTGTTCCAATCATCTAAAATGAATCGTCGTGTGGCTGAATTGTTCATTATAAGGCATTTATTTACCTTAAAAGCTGAGAACAGAGCTGCAAATGGCAAGCTTGGATAGTAGTCTATGTCTTCAAGTTCATCTTCTGAAGGGAAAGTCAGCTCTTCTTCACTGTTCTTCTCAAAGACAGAGCTAAGGTACTTCCAACATCTTCCTTCTGAATCATACTCGCGCAATCTTCCAAATCCAAGCCTTTCACAGTGATCATCTCTTCCATCAGATTCGGCGTTAGACAGATAATACACCTGTGGGCCTCTAAAGTAATTGCCAAGGAGAACACGAATTAACTTGTGAAGAGTTTGCTTTTAGCAAGAAATTAAGAATGTGAAAAGAAAAAAGTGCAAGTTAAGCTTTTTTATCAATCAAATCTGTGATTACAGATCTCTGATGCTGTTTGCACCAGTCTATATTTAGTCCTACACCGAAGGCATATGAAAAATTTATAGCAAACACATATAAAAGGAAGCGTTATAGTTACCTCGACAAATCCAAGTTATGCAGCCTTTGGAAGTCTAAACTCGATAACACAATAACGTGCTTCTTTCCACTTGAGGCAGCAAAATCGGCTATATTCTCCGCAAATTTAATCATCATTCCCTGTTTTAGTCAAGATTGTAAGTTAAAAGATGACTCACTAAAATTCCCATTTTTTTAACTGAAAAGCTCCAGCTAATTGGCATTTCATAGTCTCAACACAACAAGCATTGAATGCAATCCTTCAAAAAACAAGAATCGAAATAACAAGGAACAAAGCTGCCAACAATGTAAATACCTTTGCAACTGGAGACCGTTGCTGAGCAAGAGTAGTAGCAATTGAAGATGACTCATAAACTGAAAACACAAAACCAAAGCGCAGAAAAGAATGAGGTTTCACAAGGATAAAGGTTGATTCAACAATATAAAGTGACATAGATCTAGGCATAGAAACTATTTTATAGCATATAATGTATTATTGTCCTATATAGCAACATAATCATATAAACCAGAGGATCCTTCATCTAAGAAAGCAAAGCACCTCTCCTCATTACATCAAAGCCTAATTAATCTTAAACGAAGCAGATAGTTTTAGAAAACGAACCCTCAAGAGGAAGGGCGATATCGCCACAAGGAAGAGGGCCATAAGCGTCATTTCCAACACAAGGAAGCAGATTTGGATCATCGAGATAACCAACTCTCTCTGCACCAGTAGATGACACTAGAAGATCAACCGCGAGCTGCCCCACATTCCCAATTGACAATGCAGGCTGGTGGGGGAAAACAAAATCAAAACTTCATCAATCATAAATCTCTATTTATGAGAAACATCAATGCTTCTAAACCCTAAACCTTTTTCCTACAAGTTTCATGTCTGTTTCTTGGAATTTCAAAGTTCCCAAGAAAAGTTTGGCACTTTCTAACTTTTATTTTCTCGTCAACTACAACCTAATTTCTCAAGAAAGCTACAGTTTTTAAGCTTTAGAGACGGAAATATCGAAAGGTAAGGAATACCCAGAAGCAGAGAATAGATCGAAATCGGAGAAAAGCAAAGGAAACGAAACAACTTACGAGAACTAAAGTCGAGCAATCTTCATTCACTAGCTTTCCTTCTTCAACAACAAACTCCATTTATGAAAACCGAATCGAAGGCAAAACACTGATCACAGAATCGGATTGCAAGTTTCCCAAATATCAAATTCGAAGAATCTGACTGCGTTCAGGACACTTCTTCTTTGGTCGAGCTTGAAGAGAAAGCCAGTGACTAATTTGGGCCGACGTTATCAATCAAAAAGTAATATGGACCGATATGGGCCAGCTTAAAGCCCAATAATGAAAAAGATGATTGGAGTTTTGGGAAAACAAAAATTACTGTATTATGGGACTAAAAGAAGTGTAGAATAAACTTGGTGACGAGAAAATAAAAGAAGAAATGGAAGTCAAGAATCTACTACATGTAGTGTAAATGTAGACTTCCTTGTCAAGTATGTATGTTTTATCAAACAGTTTAAGGTTGGTGACTACGCTTGTATACTTAATGATGTAAGCCGTCATTGGTTTTGGTAGCGATCACTTGGCAGTTGGCACTAGTTTCCGAATGTTTCTTTCTTTGAACTCAACGGTTGAAAGCATCCAAAGCCAACTTAGTTTTGCTTATGAATTATATGTACCCGATATTAAACTGATTTCATCAAACGTAATTGAAAGTAAGATAACCGGTTTACTTTATTTAATTCTATATCTGAATCGAACCGGACATAGGCTCGGTTTGCAATGTACCAAAATTCCAAACCAAAAAGAAGAAATTGAACCAATTAGTACAATTTTAGTTTGGTTTTGGTGGTAAGTTTCCACTTTGTATTTTGGAGAGGTTGACATATTTTCATTAATGGTTTTGAAGTTTGACATGAATACTTGTTTATCATCGTAGCTCCTTTCTTCTCAAGATGGATCGAAAGATTGTTATTGTCGCTTAAAGAAAATCTCTGATCAATCTTTGCATGGGGTTGCTAGGATAGCCTTCAAAAAGATTGTTAAAGAGGTAATTAGATTGCTTGCTACGAGTTTTGCTTGCTAAACAGTAGAAATAAGTCAAAGTCTTGGCCAAATACTCTCATAACTACTTTAGGTTCAGTAGATCTAAATGGTCCCTCGTGGTTTATCTATACATTCCTTCAACAGATCTAAATGCATGTACACGTTGATTTCTAATCATAGAAATATATTTCCAAAGATAGCCACATTTTGTTTAAATTTTCTGCACTAATGTAAAAAAATTGTCGGTTTAGCTTTATAGAAACAAATAATTTCAATCAATTATCATGTATTTTTTATTTTATTTTTGCCAAAATCAGTTATCATATATAGCTACCAAATTTCTTTTTATAAAATATTAAAATTCACTGTTAATAAATCAAGTAAGTTTAAAGAATAGGACCAGCAAACATTACAAGGACAAATAGTAAAATCAACACCAAAAACATGTAAATTGAAATCTTTTCACTTTAAAGTGATTGATTAGACAATTATTATCCAGAGTGTTCCATATCATATGATGACAAATCATATATAATAATTCAATGAATGAGTAAATCATTTAAAATGAGATGTGAAGACTTTATGATATTGGCTGTCTCTTCCGTTGGGTACACTATGTTCCGTTTCTTGATCGCTCTCCTTTTGGGTTGTATTAAAATCGTGATAACAAAATGTTCACTCAATTGGATGATACAAGTTAACATATCAAAAAAGAAAAAAAAGAAGGAAAAAAAAAACTAATTACGATTTACAATAGACTGAAATTAAGTTGATTTTAAAAATATGAGAAAAAACCCATTTAGGTGCTTTAATACAAGGAATTAATAACTACTCAAGTATTGTTGAGGAACGTGAAATAAAATAAAACTATTATGGATTTGATTGAAAAAAATTGAAGGACACTTTGTAGGTCTGTTAAGGAGTGGTAACCAAATAGTCCATATTCGATGATATATATTATGAAACCAAATCTTATCCTCTAATTAAAAATTCTTATTACTGTAGTTTTTTCATTAGCGTGTCTAAATATTCGTCCTATGTCCATAAATTAGTTTAACTTAAAATTCCAAACAAAAATTCAACCAAAAAAGTTTCTTAATTAATAAAACTTTCTTTTTGTTATCACACGTCTCTACGATAGTCTTCCAATGGGTGATGTGTCCCTAAAGATCGTGATTTTGTTAGTTTTTCAAAGAGATCATATCAAGTCACGCTTTTCTCCGTCGAACATGGCCGAATGTGTTGTATGATCCTAATACAGTGTTAAGAAGGAAACCTAGATCACATATTATAATGATAGTTAACTGCGTACATATCAGATACTAAACAATAGCAATTAACGGTCCATTGATACGAACGAATAATGAATGATTTTAGACGATTATATATTATTTTTCTCTCGATACGATTATATACTCACGGTCACCTAACAAATACACTTCGACTAGTTTTCAACTTTTCATATACATGGTGATGTCATTTTTACGTGTATTACTAATACGTGTACATTTTGACGTTTTTCTTTTTTGGGGAGTTTTGTTTAGATTCGTGGAATCTGTCTGATGAAAAATATCAAGTAAATTGGAGAACTAAATTTTATAAAATAGTGTTACCAATACGATTTGCTGGTTTTTTCATTCCGGTAGACCAATCTCATCCCTACTTGCTGAGGCCTGAGGCACGGTTTATGCTAAAGCAAAATTCAATATAATTATGGAATATGGATTAATTGTGTATAATCTAAAGATTACCAACTTATTACCAGAATGTACAACTACGGCTGCAATAAATCATCATCTCTAGACTATAGTATATAGTCTTAAAATTAATACTTAGGCACTAATTGGTAAGGAACCAAAGATCTAAACCTTTTTAGTGCATGATAGGATAATAATAATATTCAGGAATTATCGTATGTACGAAACAAATGGATCACTTCTGCAAAAGTCAGCGTGGACGTTTTCTACATTTCGAAACCTACCATGTCAATAAATAACTCATATGTCGTAAAGATACATTGAACATTATAGTACACTTCGGCACATCGCTGTTAGTATTAATTTTTCATCTATATTTGTAGAAAACTAGAAATATACGCACAGACAACTAAGATTTTGATAACTGGTGGCACAAAAGGATCAAATTTTAAGATATTGCTCGAAGTCAACAATACAATTTCTTTGTCATTAATTCTTCTGTTTTAAAGATTGTAAAACTTCTTGTGCGAACAATTTTTATTTTATGTTACTCCTGCTGGAACACGAATCACGATCTTTTAATGCTATATATATATATATATATCAAGGAGATATTTCTCCATTTACAGCCCCAAAAGTGTTACTTATGAAATCTCACGTACTCTATGTGTCTACGTATACGTGATTATATATTGTGTTGTGTCTACATATAGACAAATAATTTGATATCGCGTACTTTTTTCAGTTTAAAATTTTAATTAATTAGTACTAATAAAGTCAATGAAACCAATATAAAGTCAAAGATAATTATTGTGCAAGTTATATTAAAAGAAAAAAAATTGAAACTAGCTCGTTTCAATCTACCAAATCTATCATGTGATATTCAATCTTTGACTTCCGTACCTCCATCGTATATTAGTGAATAATTAGTCGATGGTGTAGTGAGAGCTACATGTATCATATTATATTTAACGTGTAAATGTAAAAAAAAACTTCGTTTAAATGTATCTAACTATATTTTAAAATGTATTTAAATTGTCTCCATATATAGAAAGCTCAGATTCTATTCGGACCACGCAGCGAGTGCCGAGTGGGATCAGTTAAGCCACCAATAAAACAAATTATCCGCCTTTATATAGTTATTGGGTAACAAGAATTTGTTTCTTTTTCATTGTTATGGTTGTGATGTTTGGAACTTCCAAAGATATAGTGGCGTTTCTTTGTAAAAATGATAATTGTTATTATGTATGGGCGTGGGAAATTATAGTATCCTTAGCATTTCTGTAATTGGTATATATGGGGCTTGTACGTTTGCCATGGTTGTGACGGCATACGTACGTACCATTGGTATTTTTTTTTTTTGATTTTGTCAAAACGTCCCATATATTGCCCATTGGTATTTGAGACAACGAATTTTTTGTTTGGAAATGTAATTATATATTAGACAACGATTGATCATAATTCAAAACTTATCACATAATAACGCATGCATGTCGTGTCAAATGAACGGCGTGTAAACTGCAAACTACTCCTAATGAAGAAAAAATGTAAATTTGTCTGATTAAAACGATACTTTAATTAGTTCTGGTTACTGAAAGTGATAATTTCACTTAGAATCATTAATGTCGAATTATCTAGACTAAAATCATCTTGTGGTCATAATTTTTTCGGAATAGTCAATAGAAATTCTAACAGTTAGAGAGCAAAGCAGTAAAATAAAACAAAAGATAGCAATAAAAATAGTAATATAGAAACAATAGTGATATTTTAGTTGTTTAATTAAATAGTGCATTACTTTAGTTAAAAAATGTAAGCATGGTAATATGTTGTTTTTAAAAATCAGAATATAAAATTTACAAATGTAAATAGTTCATTTTTGAAAGAAAATCTAACTTGGTACACGGAGTGTTCAATTAATCCAACGTATTATGTTACCACAAATACCATACATTGTATGCTGTGGCAACACAACCCAATATTTTATATTAGAAGATTCAAACGGTGGTCATCCTTCCTCACCAAAAATCATTGGAAAGTTTCTAATAACAATCATAAAGAGACTATAATACAATTATCATTGAATTTTCCGCGTAGTCTCATTACTATTTTTTTGAAGAGTCTCAAGGTATCCAAAAAATCTCTTTCTTTCGGATGCATAGAAATATCTTCCGCAGTGTTTTCAGCGTCGACAACAATTTAAAATTGAAGAAAAATCTACAAGAATATAGAACAATGTTGTACTGCATAATATAAGAAACTTATTGTCCTTCGACTTTTTGTTTTGGGCGGTTTTCGATGATTGTTCTTCCATAGTAATCGGCGAAGAAGATGAGAGTTAGGTTTGCAGCACTACGAGAAAAATTAGTGTTTAGATATTTTAGATATCTCGGAAGAGATACAAAAATATCCCCATGATTATTTCGATATACGTTATAGGGTCAGTCTTATTTCGGAAATACGGAGAAGTCCCAACTTTTCAAAACATGTGCCGATCATTGGTTAATTGTGAAACCAATATTTGTTGGAACTTAATCTTTGTATTTATCTTGCTTACTCTAAAATGTTGAATGATTTTTTATACACTCTAAAAATGTCAAAATTAAACTTGGCTAGCTGTCAACAATTATTTTCATTTAATTAGGGTTTGACATTAGAGGTTGGATCAGTTTTTTATTTATAAAAATTTCTATCCGAATCCCACGATTTTTATTTATGTTTTACGAATCTTAAATTAAATTTAACATCTGTGAGGGAATACAAAATAAATAATTTAAAATTCTCATATGATTAGAGAAGATCCCATATTAACCATAGTCATCCAAAAAATGTACTTTACAAATCATCTATTTGTTTATTATCGTAATGAAAAGTCAATCGACATGAAAAGACCATTTCCTTTATCGTAATGAAAGTCAATCAACTTGTTTGGAATTTTATTTCGGTTGCCCTCATTGTTTTCAAAATTAAAAACTCATAAGAAAAATGTTTTGCAACTTGTGTGCCCTTTGTCGGCGTTTTGAACTTTTGATCCGTGCGTATAGAAAATTTCATAATAATAATAATACGTTTATTATTTTCTATACGTACGTATATACACATTCGTCTCAAACCATTTGTACTATATATACTGATTTGATGACATTGATAATAATGTGTTGACTAAGATTTCCAAATTTATACAAATACTATAAAAAAATTAGTAAAATAAAACTGAAGCCTTCTTAAATGTTGTTTTTACGGTATTCGTGATATGTTATGTTTGTTCAAAATGATGGATAAATAAAAAAAAAACGAATAAATGGATAGAAAAGTAACTAAAAATGATCAAGTCGCAAACAGGAATCTAAGCCAAGCCATCCACTCAATCACACGTATAAATAAAGGGACCTTACATTAAAATAAATGTTATGAGCTTATTATGGAGATCTCGATCACATTTCTTGAACACTTGATTAGAACAAAAGGTACTGGTATTTCATATCTTAGTCCTAAAAGGCGTTCCTTATCGTTCATGGAATGAGTCAGAAAAGTCAAAACATCTGGAAGAAAACTTTTTTCTTTCACATGTCGAAAGTGAAATAAAACTAATCAAAACAGAAAAAAAAACCCAAGTAATGAAAATCAAAGTTCCGCTTGGAGAATAGTGTTATCGTTACGTAATGTTAATGCAACGTGTGAAAATGATCAGCCGCCAACACAGCCACACACGCGTTATCTTGATTTTCTTATATTCAACTAACTTCTAAAAATAAACCCGAATCTTCGTACGGACGCATCTCATGTTCATTTATTTTCACATTGCTCTAACCATGTAATTTACTCGGACATGTTTTCTTATAAAAAAACAATGGAAATTCAATACTCCAAGATAAAACCAAAAAACAACATCTCATGTTATGCACACATTCTTTTGAGACCGTCTTTCTTTTCTCGACGACCGTCCATTTAGTCTTTCATCAACACTTTTTTATTTCCAAAGTTGCATATAAATTACATTGTTAATTCATTAATCTTCTTAATTAATACGGTCTCATGTGAAAACTGGCACTTCCGGTATCTGACGGTCACGTCTTCAGTCTAAAACGCCACGTGTCATTCACCCACGTCGTCTGTTCAACAACTTTTTTTTCTCTCTATATATACAAATCCAACATCCTCTTCTACATTTTTTATACATTTCAATATTTCTTACCAAACACATAAAATTTTCTCTCCAAATCCAGAGAAATAAATTTCGAACTTTATTTCCTTCACTCGAAAAATTCTCCACACGACAAGGAAATTAAAACCCCATAATTCCTTGCCAATAAAACCTTCCAACTACTCAATTATTTTTCTTTAGTGTAATCTTGAAAACATGGTAATAGCTACAGAAACCAGTAGTAGTCATCACCGGAGACTCACTTTCGCCGCCTTCTTAAACTCCGATCCCGCCGCCGAAGAAGAAGAACAGAGCCATGGTGTTGATGTCACTAATCCCAGTAGTAGCAACAACAACACCAACAAGGATGTCCATTATCACCAACAACGTCAAAGCAATGCTTCGACAACTAGCGGTGAGTCGTCCCCTAATCAAGTTTTGTCTCCATGGAACCAAACTTATTCTCCGTATTACACCGACACAACAACGACTCCGTCGATGTCTCCCTCACCGTGGAACCAAACTTACTCTCCGTACTACAAGTCTCCTTGGATCTACCAAACCCGAAACATGGATGACGACACCGACAACGGTTTGATCGGTACAATCGTGAGACAAGACGGTCATGTCTACTCGTTAGCTGCTTCTGGGGATCTTTTATTCACTGGATCCGATTCCAAGAACATTCGGGTTTGGAAAGATCTCAAGGATTTCACCGGGTTTAAATCGACAAGTGGATTGGTTAAAGCGATTGTAATAACCGGAGATAACAGAATTTTCACTGGTCATCAAGACGGTAAAATCCGGGTTTGGAGAGGGTCTAAAAGAAGAACCGGAGGTTATTCACGAGTCGGAAGCTTGCCGACGTTGAAGGAGTTTTTAACAAAATCAATGAATCCAAAGAACTACGTCGAGGTTCGTCGCCGGAAAAATGTTCTCAAGATTCGTCATTACGACGCCGTTTCGTGTCTTAGCTTGAACGAAGAGCTAGGTTTACTCTATTCCGGTTCGTGGGATAAGACTCTCAAAGTCTGGAGATTATCTGATTCAACATGTCTTGAATCGATTCAAGCTCACGACGACGCTATCAACACGGTGGTTGCTGGTTTTGACGATTTGCTATTCACTGGATCCGCCGACGGAACTTTGAAAGTGTGGAAACGTGAGCTTCAAGGAAAAGGAACGAAACATTTTCTGGTTAATGTGTTGATGAAGCAAGAGAACGCTGTAACGGCGTTAGCGGTTAATTTAACGGCGGCTGTTGTTTACTGTGGTTCTTCTGACGGTACCGTTAATTTCTGGGAAGGACAAAAATTTCTTTCTCATGGCGGGACTCTCCGCGGCCATCGTATGGCGGTGCTCTGCCTCGCCGCCGCCGGTAGTCTTGTGTTAAGCGGCGGAGCCGATAAGAACATTTGTGTGTGGAGGAGAAACGGCGATGGGACACACTCGTGTCTCTCGGTGTTGATGGATCACGTGGGACCTGTTAAGTGTTTGACGGCGGTGGTAGAGGTGGAAGACGACAGTGAAGGCCACAGAGAGAAAGGAGATCAGAAATGGATAGTTTACAGTGGAAGCTTGGACAAATCGGTTAAAGTTTGGCGCGTGACGGAGACGGCGTCTACGGTTATTGGCTGAGATATACTTGAGGAGGAGTGTACACGCGCCGTCTTTAGTGCGTGTGGAAAAGGGGAATGTTCCGCGGCCCATGTGATTCCTGCCGTTGTGGTCAAGGCAAGTTTTTATGGCCGGCTAAAAGAAGCAGTTACATACAACCAATAGCGAACTGCCACGTCATGAAAGTATCTAAAAGGTTTAGAAAGTTCATCTAGTTTATTCGATCTTCTTTGTAAAGTGTAACTGCACATATTTGAGTTACGTTCTAGAAATTATTGTTTCATTGTATTAAATCATTTTATTTGTATATTATGCAATGGAATTCATTTCATATAATTCAGCTTTTTTTTCTTTGTTATCTAACAGTTGATCTTGTTTAAGAGAAAATTGGAATTGAAGATTAGTAATACTCACGTTTATAGGTTGATTTGTTAGTTCAATTTTGTTAAAAAAGGAAGAAAGTCGTTGAAAAATGGGATGTAAAACCTTTTCTGGTGTCTTTATGAACTTATCTAAAAAAGTCTCGTTTTCGTGGGATTTAGAGTTTGGTACACATTTATACATGTATGAATGCGCATTGACATCTAAACACGCCCTTCTATTTCTAATAAATTTCAAATTAATAACACAAGAATCTAATAGATCTTGGTTTCAAGATATTACTATCAAACGACTTAGTTTTTCCAGAAGTATAAATACCAATCAGTTGTTCTTGCCTTTTAGTATATGATTTATATTCGCTCTGAAAATATGACCATTGGTAGTAAGGACTCGTAAGTCAAGTAAGTAATAAATTGTAACAGTACCTTATATGATTGCAGAAAGTAAAACATTTCATGGACGAATGTACCAGAATGTTCAACAGATTATTATTTAGAGGCTAATAAATGGCCCTATATCCTATAACCAATAATCGTTGCTTTGGGAAAAATCCAATAAACGAATAAACACATCAAACCATAATCTAAACAAAGTACTACATAGATAGATCATAGCTAGATGAGAGGTCATATGTTTTTGGGTTATTTCAAAATTGATCTAGTAGTAGAAAATCAAATAAGAATTTTATATAAGATTTTAAATATGTTCGTGTTAGGTTGTTTTGTTGGTTCAGTTTGTTGGAAAAAGAAGTGGCCCATTTGGAAATTAAAACGGAGAGGAAATGTAATATTCTATTTTTGTCTTCATGAACGTATGTTAAAAGTCTTCTTTTTCGTTGGATTTAAGTTTGATACAAAACTATATATGCATAGCTATTTATATGATATATCTATGCACATTGACAATTTGGCATATACACATGCACACAGCATCCTTTATGTTCATATTTTCAAATAGCACGAAAAGCTGCCAAGCAAATTAGAAATTTAAGAGTTTGGGTAAGTTCTAAATTTGTAAAATTCATAATGATAATTCGGATCACAAGTTCCTAAATTTAAAATAAGCTCTGTAGATATATGTATTAACTATTAACTATGATGTCTAAAGATTTTCACTTCTAAATTTTATCCGTCAGTTGTTCTCACGAGCATATGCATAGTATAAAATATTGACTGAAAGATTGTTATGTTTTGTATCCCAAACAATACTTTTTTATGGGTTCTTATTTATTAGTGTAATACAGTAGTGTTACACTTTTGGTTTTGAATTGGAAATTAATATTCGCATAATGTAACTCGTAAGCATCTAATATGTTTGTGATATCTGTTTATCGGTTACACTCATACGATCGATACACATACTTCAACAAGACAAATTCAGATAACCTCTTAAACGCATAAATTAACCAACGTGTGACTCGGACTTTTGTTAATAGGAATACATTTTGAATGACACATTGACATTCGGTTCAAATCCGGTTTACGCCGTAAATAAACGCAAAGTATATCTGAAAATAATTTGAATTGGGGTATGGTATCTGTGTTTTTCTCTTAGTTAAGGTTACAACAAGAAACATCGAGGTTAATTATTGTGCGCTACCGTAGTTAGGCAAAGCCCCACTAGATATTTGACTTTAGTTAATTAAGAATGATTTAGCCCATAATCTTGACTATTTTATTATATATAGGTCTTGTTAAGTTAGTCATAAATTCATATATGCATGTAAATAATTATTTGTAAAGCCCGTTTTCGGTTAAAATAATTTTACTTTCACACACGGACTCAACGTGGATTAGTATATACATCCGTTTCAACGATGCTAAAATCTAAATTAAAGGGTAATTAAAAAGTATGTGCACTCAGATATATAACATAATTTCCATAAATAATCTGCACAAAATGTCAGAAAGCATTTACTTGCTTATAATTTATCTGGATCATCGTGCGACGAGACAAGACAATATGTAATGTTATGTTGATACGAGTATATACTTACCTTATATGTAATTATCAACCAAAATACCGGATTATCCCAAATAGAATTGTCTACTTTCGAGAAAATTTGAGACTGTGTTCTCGGAGTTTCAAAAGAAGCATGGAAAGACGCGTATTTTGGTTGTTCCTATTTTTGTAAAATAATAGGTTATTTATCTTCTTGTCATGGTTAATAACGTAACCGACCTTAGCTCAGTTGGTAGAGCGGAAGACTGTAGACGTTGCAGACAATCTTTAGGTCGCTGGTTCGATTCCGGCAGGTCGGAATTTTTTTTTTCTTAACTTTCACACATAATTGGGCTTTAAGAGATAAAACCCAGCCCATATTAAGGCTCTTGCTCAAAAAGCCTAGACCAGCCGTTTATAAACAAAATCCAAAGTATTTCCAAGATTAAAAAGTTTATGTAATTCGTATTTTGTCAATGTAAAATGTCTCATTCCCGTCACGTATTAACTCTTGTGAATACTATTTCATCAATGAATCAGGAATCAAACTTTCACTAAGCGTAAGAAACTTCGTGAACTATTTACGAGCTAGAGTTTAACTTGGTTACTTGTACATATATATATACGTACAGTTTGTATAGCAAATCGCATCTGTCAATTTATGATATTACCATATTAGAAACATTCCTTAGTTTCCACCTCCGATAATTGGAGAATTAATGACGCCTCCATCGCTATAGACATACCTAATACGTCTACAAGATAATTGCCCAATTGCCGGTCGTCAATGTTAAGAGTACGAACGTAATTTTCGAAGATGAGGTGATCGTTCAACTGTCGTGGTCCTCGTGGAAGCCTTGACGAATCCTCATCCACAATATATTTCGTCTCGTTTATATCTTTATGTTTAAAAAAAAAAAAAAAAAAAAAAAAAAAAAAAAAAAGTATAGAAAATATATTTTGTTAGCGGTAGGTAAGCTTGTACTATTTGATGTAACTATGCTTTAATTGAAATGACATGTACGTAGCAACGAATTATACAATGGTGTAAAAGCGAATTTCCATGATATTTTTAAAATTTATATTACAGGGTTATAATGTATAGTGTATACCAATACCAACAAAAAAAAAAAACTACAATAATAGGACTTATCTTTTGTGTAGAGAACTGTATAAAAAGAGTCTTGGAAAACCGAAAAACAAAAAAAAAAAGTCTTGGAAAACTGCAAAGTGTTAAAGTAACTTTTGTCACACTTGTCAGATAAAATCTTATAACATAACGACAAAAAAACTTATCTGGCTTCTCGGTTTCTCTTTTACGGCTTTAACTCTCCACTCATCACTCTCCATTTTCTCCTTCTCTTTGAGCAAGGCAAACAAATAATGGTTACAACCCGAAACACGAAGGCCAGAGTCACCCCAGCTTCTCACCGTCGACCACCGCAAGATCCTGAGTCGCCAGTGAAGACTTTCTTCAAGTTGGTCTTACCTTCAACAATGAAGAAAAACATGATGGTAATTAACAAAACAATTTGAAAAAACTTGAAATAAAGTGTTTGCATGTTTTGCTATTGGTTCAATTCTTTGTTCCTGTAAACTTCTGTTTCACTAAACAGTTTCCATTTCTTTTGTTTTACTGTTTATTGGATTAGAGATCTAAAAGGGATACTAATTTGATAATTTGTTCTTAAGAAATGTAGAGATCTGACATTGTGTTACTTGTTTCTGAAAATCTCATTATGTTATATAACTTTGAGCAGAGGATACCGCCAAAATTCGTGAAGCTACAAGGGTCTAGACTCCCTGAGGTTGTTACATTGGAGACTCCTGTGGGATTCAAGCGTTCGATAAAGCTTAAACGGATCGGTGAAGAGATTTGGTTCCATGAGGGTTGGAGTGAGTTTGCAGAGGCTCATTCCATCAAGGAAGGCCACTTTCTGTTGTTCGAATACAAGAAGAATTCGAGTTTCCGTGTAATAATCTTCAATGTTTCGGCTTGCGAGATCGAATATCCACTGGATGCAGTTCATATCAGTGACAGCGACGATGATGTAATCGAAATTACAGGCAAAGAGTTTAGTGGAAGTCAAGGTACAAGGAAGAATGATCAATCTGTTGATGGTGGTGATACAGAGCACAAACCCAAGAAGAGGCCAAGAGACATCGAGTTTGACAAGATTCTACTCGGTAAGCAGACTTTGTTCTTAATAACGTTGTGATTAAGAAGATTGGCATCTGAATATCTTTTATCTTATTTGTGTAGATGTTGATAAGATCAATTCAATCCAAGTGCTTAAAGAAGAAGAAGAAGACATGAGAGTCTACAGGGGATAACAGAGCTATTAACAGAACCGAGACCTGCAAGTGTATTTGTTGTGTAATGTTTATTATTGGCACGATGAAACTAAAAAACTTGCATTGCACATTTAGTAGTGTTTTGATCCTGACCTGTAACAAGCTATTTTAAACAAAACTGAAACCAGGTCTTGTTTTTATTCTTCTTTCTTTCATCTCGTTCCTCAGCTTCTCTACCTCTATCCATTTCCCTTTATGAGCTAACACATTCGATAAAGCGACATAATCTTCGCACTCAGAACCTGAAAGCTTCTCCTCCTCTCGTTCTATCTCGAGAAGAGTCTTTCCGATTTCTTCACCCATTGCAGTCTCTCCATAAATGCTGCAGGCATTACAGAGACTTCTTAACAAGATGGTGTCGGGTTTTATAGGCATAGCTAATACAAACTCATAAGCCTCTTGTATCCGCCCTGCTTTACCCAAAAGATCTACTATGCATCCGTAGTGTTGAATAACCGGTGTGACACCAAATCTTGTCCTCATGTTTTTGAAGAGCTCGATTCCTTCTTGAACAAGACCTACATGACGATAAGCTGAAAGCAAGCTAGTGAAAGTTACTTTGTTTGGTTTGATCCCAGATTCCGCCATTCGATTTAAAAGATTTGGTGTTTCGTTTCCTCTTCCATTGAGTGCTAGCCCTGTTGCCATTGAAGTCCATGTGAAGACATTCTTCACTTTCATTAGCTCGAAGACTGAGAAAGCACTGTTTAAGCAGCCGCATTTTGAGTACATGTCTACAAGTCCAGTACCAATAAAGACATCAATTTCGGGTGTGAACCCGAGCTTTTCTATGTAACCATGAACGAGAGAACCGATTTCGATCAAACCCGTCTGAGAAATGGCTGAAAGAACACTAACCATGGTTGTATCAGTAGGTCTAACTCCATAACCGCAGCAGGAGAATCTCCGAAACAAAATCATAGCCTTTCTCGCATTGTGATTCCCTTTATCCTTATGTGAACAATATCCACCGATCATTGCGTTCCATGTAACAGAGGTTCTCTCAGGCATTTCATCAAACACCTTCCTCGCATAAGGTAAATCCCCATTCTTAGCGTAGAAATGGAGCAAAGTGGTTCCAATCAATTCAGATTCATAGAGAAACCCAAGCTTTTTCACCATCCCATGAACAATTCTACCAACCCGTAACGCCGACGACGAAGCTGACCTAGCACAAGCGCCAAGGACGAAAACAAAAGTTCGCTCATTGAGATAAAGCAACGAACTTTTTGATGCCCTATTGGCGAAAATCCAAATCGAGTCCTCTGGTTCGCTACATTTAAGCAATGTGTTGAAGAGAAACTTATCAGGATGACCAAATCGAGGAAACACCAGTAAATGAGCAAGCTTTGAGCTTTCTGTTGATGGCTTTGAACAGTAATGGCCTATGAGTTTGCCAAATAGAGAATTATCTTGGCAACCATTGATGACTAATTGAGCATGGATTTGCTTAGCTTGAATTAGGGTTTTCGAATTCTGGTGCAACAAGGACAAAAATCTTGATCCTGGAAAAACAGAGCTCATAAGCACCAAACTCTGATACTGTAATGGATTATGACAGAGAGAGAAGAAGCAAACGCTAAGACATAAAGAAAGGAATCTACAACACAAACCCATCTTCATCATATCATCATCTTGGTCACAAGTTTCGATAATACCAAATTTGATGGAGATTAGGTATTTACAGACTTTCTTAAACCCTAACTTGTTCTACTCAAACAATTTGAGTTCCACTCAGAGGTTATATATAATGGGGTAAAAACAACTTATCCACATCGAAAACATAAAGTAAACCCGAGAAGAAACGAGACACTGACGCAATGACCAGAAGAGAGTTTTAGTTGTTTTCAAATTAAGATACTCCTACACGATATTGTACTTGAGAAATCCCCCCCACTGCAGAATGTTCACACCATAATGCTTTGTTCAGACGTACTCGTTGACTCGAAAGGCCGTCACTTTCAGAACGAAATCTCTGGTTCTTAGCAGCTCGAACACGCAGACGTCTCCTTCTCCTAGGTTGTTCTCTAGAGTGAACTCATACCATCCTTGACTGAATTTGGCTCTCCCGGCTTTGTAGAGACATCGGACAGGCCATTGTTTCTCCGCGAGCTGGACCTTGATGAACCCGGAGATCCCACTTAGGTACTTCTCAGCAAACCCAGAAGGAAGATACTGTTGAAAGAAACAGAAACAGAAGACTTCTTTAGAGATCAGTGAAGACCGATAAGATTTAAGTCTTCCTAAGATGTTTTTATTACCATGATGCAACCTCTGTATAGATAGGATGGTCGCAGAACAACTCTGAAGAAAGGGTTTGTTGGCTCGAACGTTTTGGCTGCATTGATAGCCCTCTCTCTTTCTTCTGCAGTCACGGTTCTCTTTCTCGCAGAAGCACTCTCGTAGAACTTTGAACGGTTCTCTGGGTCATCATCGCGCGGAGCTGATGAGTTTATTTCCTCTGTAAGGACCATATCAAGAGGATATATCATGAAGGAGAATCTGTGAATCTTCTGAAAAAGAGTCTGAAACATTTAAAAGGGGAAAATGCTTACCAGGATCAGCATTTTTCTTCTTCCTCCCTCTCTTTTTTGGAATTTTTGGAGTTGGTGTTGCCTCTTCAGCTGAAGAAAAGGAAAATATCAACCATCAACCTTAAAAAAAGGATAAACGCGTAATCCGCGATAGATAAAGGAAATTAGTTGGTTATAATATCACCTTTCACAGATCCAGTGAACAAGCTTTGGATGGCTGAACCAGGATACCCTTTGTTGGCTGGTGCTGTAGACTCAGGAAGTGGTGAAGGGTACACGGAAGAAGGAAAGATGACCTCGGCATCTTCATCTTCAAGGTCTTCAAACAAACGGGCGCGTTTGAAGTGGTTGTGTGCGGAATCCATGAGACCGGTGGAATGGTAATTGATCTCAGAGTGGGATAAATTGAAAATGTAGACGCTGAAGGCAGAGTTTCCTTCGTATCTAAAAATCAAAAGATAACCAATGCGAATGGAGTAACGGTCAACAAACTCTTGCCAACCATCTTGAAACCAAATTTTGTTCTCAGCTTTCCTTAGTCCTACACGCCAAACATGACCATCAGGTACTGTGAGTGCTACAGCAACCGAAAGCTCATCCTTGAATTTACTCACAAACTTATCTGGGACTCTCTGCACAAGCATACCGGTATGAGATATAAAGAAACATATAAAGGTCCACAAGATCTATAAGAACTACACTAGATATTGCGAGAACATAAAATCAAAAATGGACATGTTTCAGCAAAAACATTCGATAAACACAGTTGCTAAAGAAAAGACGGCTTTACCTAATTTAAAAACACAATTCACATGGCCGTATTTCAGTTTCGAATGCATCAACAAGGACACACAGTGCATTAGTACACATGTAACATGGTACATTTATCTCTGAATAGATTCTCCTATGATAGTATCAAATTAATCATATGCTTGTGAACTTTGGGTGAACATAAATGCCTGTGTTAATCGAAAGCATTATTTCCAGAGCAAATCTCTTCACTTATATGCCACATGGGAGCTAAACAGTATCTGAGTTTTTTCAAAACAATGCACAAACATTTCTTGAGGCAATCGGCACAAGTGATGACTAATCACTGTATCAAATAAAGTAGATAACTTTAAAACACAAAGATAATACATAGAGACCTTCAAAACAAGTCAACTACTCAATTTTAGGGATTCACTCACTAGCCACAATACTCTATTATCATTAAGGAGTCTAAGATCTCAGACCTTCCTAAGTCAAACAGAGAAAACAGTCAAAATAGAGTAAACAAAACAGACACTTATAGTAGAGAAACCATAAACAGATCTCAAATTATTCTCCTCAGAAATTGCATACAGAATCAAATCATCCTCAAAAGTCAAATCACTCAAAAAAAAAACATTCTCAAACTACACATAATTTGCTGTCAGAGAGAGAACACACATGCCATCAAAAAACCAAATTCCCACCAAACACAAACAATGACCATAAGAAACTGTCTTGCAGACTTCCGATTCGAAACCCACAAAATCCCATTTGACCAATAATCACAACACAAGCTTCAAAAATGGAACTTTTCATCACCCAAAAAAAACACAACATTGACACGATGCCTAACAAGAATCAAGACAATTGAATTGCAAGAAATCAAACAAGTGTGTCACAACGCATAATCTGACAAACGCAACACCAGATTCCAACCCTTGAAAACCCTCAATTTCGCTCAAAATCAAAACTTTGAAAGCCCAAAAATTGGAAGAGGCGAAAGAGAAGAAGAAGGAGAGAGTAGTAAGTTACCAGACGTTTTTCTTGGATAGTGGATGAGAAAATCAACTTATGGAAGAAAGGGCGTGGCATGTTCAGACACAACAGTGACGAAGTAAGAAAAAAGAAGAAGAAGAGAAGACCAGAGAGAGTCAGATCATGAAACGACGCCGGAGAATAAAAGGACAGAGACAGACTGAGAGAAAACCCTTTCAGATCTGAAGGAGTTTTGTTGTGTTAAAGCTCTTTTAGATTTTAGTCAAAGGGGTTACAACACTCTCTCTTTTCTTTTCTTTTCTTTTTAACACACCTGACCTGAGGAGTGACCCAACCAAACCCAAGAAGAAGCAAAAAAAAAAATTATTATAAGAAAAAAAAAAACCAACTTGTCCTAAAACGAAGCTCGAGCGAGTTGAATCTGTGTTAGCTCGGTTGAATCGGTGAGTCGAATCGGTTGGTCACTCGTGTGATTTTTTTTTTTTTTTCTAACTAATCAAAAGCCGACCGCCCCCACCTACTCCCCTTTTTCGACCATCTTTTTTTTCTTAACAAATGTTTCTTTTTGTATTTTTGATTTAAATATTTGTTTCTTTTTTGTAGCACGCAATATCGCAGAAAAATATATTATTGCCTTATAAAATAAAAAAATATTTGATACTCTGTTAAACGTCTTTATTTGCAAACAGATACCGTTCCGGAAAATCTCATTTTTAAAACAAATAAAACACACTTGTAAACTAGTACCCTGAAGCCTAAGGACAAATATGTAGGTCGAGAGGAAAACAAAATTGGTTTCCAAAAGATAGAAAAAAAGAGTATATTATAAGGTTATAATCATGGCACTGTATTAACGGTATGTATAAACTTAGAGAATGACGACAAGTTAAAACATGTATAGATATATAAATCAAACTAAAACATGTATACCGATTGCAACATATATAAACTCGATTTCAACATGTATATTCATGGCTATCTCACATGCATAAAATTTATGTATTTCTTGTATAAATCCAGCTACAGTTATACCTAAAATTAGCCTATGCATAAACCCTTAATCATCCAAAAAGAAGTTTAACCTCTTTAATATATGCTTAGTAACTATTATTTCTCGATGAAATATTGGAATTTGACTTGCAGTTAGTTTCGGCTTTACCATTGGCCATCTCCCATCATTGGTCTCAACATTTTTGAATGGACTTTAAGTTTATAGAAAGCCTGGTTCTGTCTTCAGTCTTCTGACATTTTATCCTTAGAATAATGTCGGAGATGTATTAAGATAAAAGGGGTAAAAATATTCCTCTTTTCACAGTTCGCGTGCATTTTAGAAATATTTGATGCCTAATTGAAAATTAGGAAGTAAGTAACAAAATCGCTGTTGAAAAAACCAAAACCAAAAGTAGATTTCATCTCGCATGCATGTTCATGTGGATAGAAAACCAAAACATTGGTCACGCTCATTAAGTAATTAATAAGAAAACGTTAGGAACACACGTGTATATATATCATATATGTATGATCGTAGTAGACATAGTTAAGCTGAGTGACTAATATGAATCGTATATCGTCATCTACTTTGATATATGTCGCTTAATATTGACTTCTTATGATGGTAGGAAGAAGAATGGTATTGAAAATCTCAGTGAATAACTTGTGTTCACCACCACTCTATGCTTCGTGTAATCGTGGTTTAAGTGATATTTTTGAAATTAGTTAATTCTTTTAACCGTGGCAAGTTGAAGGCAATCACGTGATTTAATTTGTTGGATGTATATATTCTGTCTGTTGACAACGCATTTATCAACTTTTCAGATCGGTTTATTATGTACGATTAACAAATAAAACACTGATATACTCATATACAGTAATGAAATATTTACTGAGAAGTTTTCTTAAATCCCAATTCAAATTTTAAACATGTGCAATTGTTAAAATATCGCCATTTATCAAAAAAAAAAATTAGGTCAGTGTACGTATATTTGGAAATGAAAAATGACGATCGCAAATGATACAATATTCTGATGAGACGTTTATTTTTAAAATAATTCCCATTTAGTATTATTCTACATGTAAAATCTCGCTTGCATTTTGTGAATCATTTATTCAGGAAGAAAAACTACATATTAGTTTTAAAGACAGAAAAACAAATCTGAACTTGATTAACCATATATGAAAAGAACCAAGAGAAATCAACATAAGGATATAATGTGATTAACTAAGCCTTGAAGTGATCAATCTGGATATTCTCAACCTCGAGCTTCTTGAAATCACTTCTGTTTCTTGAAACAAAGAACTTTCCCCAATTGTACTTTTTATAACAAGGCGGGTTTTCTTCACTTATAAGCTCCTCCAATGGCGCAATGTTGGCTTCATGTGACGGGAAGAAGAAGAATGGTATTGAGAATCTCTTTTTGCTTGTGTTCACCACCACTCTATGTTCAGCACTCCAATACTTATCATTTGTCCACACCTACTCCACAAAAATCTTATATTCATTCATCATCTCTAATATAATACATCAAAGATATATATTGACACTTATGAACTCATCAGTCTATGTTTTACCTGAATACAATTGCCAATGTTAATGATCAAAGCATCCGAGATCGGTTTCACGGGGATCCATTGTCCATCCGATCTACGACTAACTTGTAATCCACCTACACTATCTTGGGCCAGGACGGTTAAAGCTCCTCCATCTTTGTGGCGTCCAACACCTAATGCTAGCTCGGGGTTCGGGCAGGGAGGGTAATGGTTAAACCGCAAAAAACTAGTTTGCTCATTGAAGAAACCGGTTAACCGATCACCAGGTAGACCCAAACTAATGGAGACAAGTTCCAATAGCCTAAAAGCTAACTTCTCAACTTCTCTTGCATATTCTTGGCATACCTCTCTACCACACACATGATAAAAAAATTAATAAAATGAATTCTAATCAGGCCCATTGGGCCTAAGCTCTCGATTTCGTGACGAACAATAATTCAGATGAGTGAGAGAGAATCAAACTGGTCACCTGAAATGAGAAGGGTTTTGAGGCCACTGGTTCGTGAGCTTTCTGAGCTCAGTATCTTCCGGGTCCGGTGTCGCCGGAACTATCGTCGAATCTTGCAAGAAGAAATCGAAAATTTCTTTCCAATCTCTAACGTTCTTGGTGTGTTCCTCGTCGTGATAACCCATAGGATTCACTTCGTCTCTTTTCACTTTCCTCTTCTCCTCCGTCGATAGATTGAAAAACTCAGCACATGCCTCCTCTACACGACGCCTTAAATCCGAAGGTAAGCCGTGGTTGATCACCTGGAAAAATCCCCATCTCTTGCATGCCTCTGCAATCTCCGCCGCGATCGCCGTCTTGTCATGATCGGGATCTCTGAGAGAAGAGAGATCGATGGTCGGGATCTCGTCGGAGTAAATGAAATCATTGGAGTTTGTGAGGTGAGTGTTTGGTCTGTGTTCTGGAGCTTGGATAAAAGCTTCGTCGAGTTCTCCCATGGCGGTTTTTGCAGTGGTTCTTGTGGTTAGTTTTAGAGGCTTTTTGAGGCTTTGGAGATATCGATGATTAGTGGTGCGGTTGGTGGTGATTTATAGGATAATGCCACGTACGTAGAGTAGTATTTTCTTGTCCCTAAATAAAATGAATCTAGACTAATTTATGCAAACCACTATAGGTTCAATTTTCCTCTTTTTGTTTGTCGTCAACTAATTACACTAGGTGATTGGTGTCTGCATTTTTAAGGTCTTTATCGTAGTTCAGCTACCAAATGTCATTAGACGTAAACATTACTTTTTTAACAGTTTGACACTAACAAAATTGTTTCGAGTCAAAATACGTAAGTTCTAATAGCTTAAAGGCTAACTTTTCTTGCATATTCTTGGCATACCTACTTATCCATACCACAAATAAACTTGAGGGTAACAAGCAAGATTCTTATCAAACTCAATGGGCCTTTGTTAAGGCCTTTTTTAGCTGTTCTTGAAATTTTTTCATATGAATTCTCTACATGATAAATGACATAATGTGAATTCTAAATCCAACTTCTCACACGTGAACACTGAATAGATCGAAAGGGGTCCACACTTACATCGTAACATTTAAATGGTTCACTAGTCAGTAGACTTGCACATCACATATGCTAGAAAAAAGACTTCAAAATTAATTAATTTTCCAGGGAAAGCGAATTAGATGGTAATGATTTGTTAGGGAATTTGTAGCAAATTTAGCTAAGTTATTCTTCAACTTAATACATTTTGTTTTGGGTACAACAAGGTTGGATTGTAGTAAAACATGCAGAAGTATGATCAACTAATTAAAGACAGAAAAGGATAACTAGAATTGAGCATGTATAAGTAACAATATCTAAAATTAGGACATAGACAAATACAATTTGCAAAGATAGTTAAGTGGTCAAGAGAGGAGGACCACACAACGATTTTACCTTTGAATCTGGACGCACTCTTTTGAGTGGTGCCGAAATTGAAATATATTAGTCAATTCTTTAAGAAGAAGACATTTTCTTTGTTTTCTCTAACCGGCCTATCTTGACCAGCGGGATGTGCTTTAAGACACTAATTATTACTTGTAAACACTTTTTAATCCGGTGAAATATTACTCTCTCTTAATAATTGCCACTTCCAATACACAAAAAGCTACTATCAAATTTATTGTCTCCGACACAAATTCAGTCCCACACACATTATTTGATTAATATCATAGCTTGGTAAAAAAACAATCGACACATAGTATATTAAGTTTTAACTTTAAAGTCATCGATCTGGATGTTTTCGATTTCCAGTTTTCGAAAATCGCTTCTGTTCCTACTGACGTAGAACTTGCCCCATTTATAGCCTTTGTATCTTGGAGGGTTTTCAGGACTCACAATCTCGTCTAATGGCTTCACTTCCACATCGTGTGAAGGCAGCAAGAAGAATGGTATTGAGTATCTCTCTCTTGTTGTGTTCACCACCACTCTATGTTCAGCACTCCAATACTTATCATTCGTCCAAATCTACATTTTCATATTTATAATATAGTAATACTCATTAATTATGAAATAATCTTTTAATATATGTTAGTATATATAACTTAAAAGAATATGACATTACCTCCATACAATTGCCTATATTGATGACAAGAGCATTAGGGACGGGTCTAATCGGAAACCAAACACCGTCCGATCTACGACTCACTTGTAATCCTCCAACTTCATCTTGAGCCAATAGACTAATAACGTCTGCATCTTTGTGGTGACCAACACCTAAAGCTAGGTCAGGTCTTGGACACGGTGGATAACGATTTATCCTGAAAAAACTCATTTGTTCTTTGAAGTAGTCATGAAAACGCTCTTTTGGTAAGCCTAAGCTTAATGAAATCAGTTCCAAGAGCTTGAACGCTAATTTTTCAGCGTGTTTTGCATATACTTCACATGCCTCCCTAATAATAAATTAGAACAAAAAAAAACAAAGAAAATAAATTAGCTTACATAATTGAAGAAAAAAATTTATTTCACCTACACATGTGTAAAGTAACCTATCATATACAGTGGTGGATGCAGCGTTGGAGGATAGGATTCACGTGACTCCAATACATTTGGTAAAACATATGATAAGGTTCTGATTGATTCAAGTTTCTATTTGTTTTTTTTCAATAGATAAAGTATAGAAAACTAAAGAATACGTAGGAAAAAGAAATAAATTTATATAGAAAATTATTTGTAATGTGTAAGTGACTGCATAGGATTCTAAACTGGATCCGTTCGTTGTTTCTCATTAACAAAAATATATCTAATTAAAAGAAAATTACCTGAAATCAGAAGGAGATTGAGGCCACTTGTTGTAAACAAGTCGTAAACCTTCATCTTCAGGATCTGTAGAAGAAGGAATAACCATTGGATCTTTGAAATAAATATCAAACACTTCTTTCCAATCTTTAACGTTCTTGGTGTGTTCTCCATCATGATACCCTACAGGATTCACTTCGTCTCTCTTCACCTTTATCTTCTCTTCCATAGGCAAATCGAAAAACATCTTCACAGTCTTCTCTACACGTTGCCTTGCGTCAGAAGGCACACCATGATTAATCACCTGAAAAAATCCCCATTTTTCACAAGCATCACCGATCTCTGAGATAACGTTTTGGACATCTTCGGGGTCATCGAGGCGCGATAGATCGATCACAGGTATTTCTTCGGGTTGGTTAGGGATGAAATTTGAATCTGATCTATGCTCTGGTGCTTGGATATAGGTTGGATCAAGATCCTCCATTGTTAGACGTAGAAAGAGTTTTGGGGGAAAGTCAATAGAGCTTTATGTTGTGTTTGGATGGATGTCTATAACCAGAATGTTAGCTAATTATACACCACTACTTTTTTTAAGTAAATTATTATTAGGATATATAAATCAATTTTGTTTTGTTTTTATGCATACGTTTTTGTTAACAATATAAGATACTCAAACTACAAATTTTTCTTCGACGACCTCAAAGTACTGAGACTTTTCCTCGTTGAATGATTTTTAAAACGAGTATTATTAATTAAGCCGGTCAGAGGATCTGTCGGATCATGAAGTAATTAACACTCCTATTAAAAATAAAATAAAATTACAGTCGAAGTTGTAATTAGGAATAGGATAAAACTAAATCAATCTTGAAAGTTGGACTAAATCATCAATATTTGTTTATTAGCTGAACACTATTCTTATTTTAATTTTGTCATCGCATACAAGTTGAATTTCTCCTAGTCCTTGATTTATATAAGAAAATAGACGGAGTTTAATTAGCTATTAACCAATTAGTGTACTATTTTTCAAAACTAAGGAATCGTTTTGAATCTTAACCTATTCGAGGATGGTGGTTGATGAGTCGAAAAATTGAAAGTTGAAAATGTGATAGTTGCCACAAAAGACCAGAATTAAAAATAATTAGATTTGCTTAATGAAAACGAAAAATAAATCAACGATCTAAAATCACGTTGACGTTGACAAATAAATAAAAATCTTTTCATTCTCAATTGAGGGTTTTTCTATGGTGTCAAATATTTTCATTTAAAGTTTGAAAATTTCCGGAATGGATATTTATAGTTTGGAGTTTGGACATTGAACAAACCATTTTTTTTTTTAACAGACAAATTTTGAGAGAAATAAACACAAAGAATGTGATGAATTTACACTATAAAACATAGAATTACAGATATGTTAACGTTTTAATTTTGAAAATATTCACTTCTAAAAATCATCTACTTACAGATTACAATGGTCAAATTATGAATGTATTTTTTTTTCTTGTTACAAATTGGGTTAACCGGAAAATTTTTAGACCAAAATGTAAATATTAAAAATGTTTGGTTCAGTAGCCTGGGAACATCGGTGGTGGTGGCGATGCATATTGGTGTCCAATGTTTGGTGGGAGGATGAAATTATCGCCGCCGTCATTGTCTTCCGATGGTGGTGCAGTTACATCTGGTGATGGATTTGAAGATGGCGTCGGTGACGAAGGGGTGCCTGCTGATTGTTCTGGTGCTTCAACTTCTGGTTCGCTTGATGGAACTGGTGCTTCAACTTCTGATTCGCTTGATGGAACTGGTGCTTCAACTTCTGGTTCGGAAACTGGAGCCGAGGAGTGATTTGGCTCGGAATTTGGTGATGGAGCAGGACTTGATTTGAACACCGGTGAGTGATTTGATTCTGATGGTGCTTCGATGTCCTCAGAGTCTGGGGTCGGAGCTTGAACCGGTGATGAGATTTCTCCTGATTCTGATGAAGGTGTTGGAGCGTTTGCCGTTGGTGATGTTGCCGGTGGTAGAGGCGTTACAGGTTTTGGTGGTGGTAAGAAAACTGGAGGAGGAGGAGAGTAAATAGGTGACGGAGGTGGTGGAGAGTGGACTGGTGGTGGTGGAGAATGGACTGGAGGTGGTGGAGAGTGAACTGGAGGAGGCGGTGAGTGAACAGGAGGAGGCGGTGAGTGGACTGGTGGCGGTGGTGGGGAGTGGACGGGTGGAGGCGGGGAGTAGACTGGTGGTGGAGGAGGAGAGTAGATTGGTGCAGGCGGTGGTGGAGAGAAAACTGGTGGTGGAGAGTGGACCGGTGGAGGAGGAGAGTGGACTGGTGGAGGCGGAGAGTGGACCGGTGGAGGAGGAGAGTGGACTGGTGGAGGCGGAGAGTGGACCGGTGGAGGAGGAGAGTGGACTGGTGGTGGTGGTGAATGTACCGGTGGTGGAGGAGAGTGGACTGGTGGTGTTGGTGGAGGAGAGTATACTGGAGGTGGTGGAGAGTAAACCGGCGGTGGAGGAGAATGCACCGGAGGAGGAGGTGAAAATACAGGTGGCGGTGGGGAATGCACCGGTGGTGGTGGTGGCGGAGAGTGTACTGGTGGAGATTGTGGCGACGGTGTCTTTGTATCTTCTGTGGACGGTGATGGTGGTTGAGGACGACGTTTTTTAATCGGAGATGCATCGTAAGGATCATTTGGTACCGGTGATTCCAGTGGAGGCGATCCCATTTTTGGTGCCTCTGTCTTTGGTGGTTGTTCTTGCTTTGGTGGTTGAGGCTTAGGTGACTCCTCTGGTTTTGACATCTCTGGTTTTGGCGTCTCTTGTTTAGGAGATTCCGGTTTAGGAGATTCTTCTGGTTTTGGTGGCTCTTGCTTAGGCGACTCTTGTTTTGGTGACTCAGGCTTGGGTTTTGGCTGTTCTGGTTTTGGTGGCTCTTGCTTAGGCGACTCTTGTTTTGGTGACTCAGGCTTGGGTTTTGGCTGTTCTGGTTTTGGTTGCTCTTGCTTAGGCGACTCTTGTTTTGGTGACTCAGGCTTAGGTTTTGGCTGTTCCGGTTTTGGAGATTCCTGTTTTGGTGACTCTGGCTTAGGTTCCTTTGGGTTAGAAGGCTCATGTGATGGTGTCTCAGGCTTTGGACTAGGCTGTTGTGGTTTGGGAGATTCTTCTGGTTTTGGCTTAGATGGCTCTTCTAATTTTGGTGGGTTAATTTCTTTCTCAGGCTCCGGTGCCTTTGGCGTTGGTTTTGGTGATGGGTTTGAACCACCGCCACCTCCACCACCACCGGCACACTTGTCTTTACTGCAATCCACAGGACGGCTTACCACCGGCAAACATTCTTTAGCCGACTTCTGATTTGGCCTATTCTGTAAGCAATTGCTCGTGTCATCAAATTGTTTCTCTTGGCTCGACCCAGGCACACAACTTTGAGCTTCTCCATTGAAGAAATTGTAAGAAAATGTGAAGTTCGTCAATTTGGGCAACTTGCAAATATTGTCTGTGACAAATCCGGTGAACTTATTGTATGAGAAATCCATTTGTTCCACGTTGGCTAAGCCTGACAAGGTCGATGGTAAACTTCCAACGAATCCATTGCTACTAGCATCAAACACAGTCACATTGTTCAACGAACCGATTTCGTTCGGTAAGCAACCACTTAGGTTGTTCCCAATAAACACAATCTCGTTGAGGTTCTTCATCTGGCCAATGGTTTTCGGGATGCAACCGCTGAATTTATTGTGTGCGAAGGTCACGACGGAAGCAGTTGATTTACCAATTGTCTCGGGGATGGTCGACTCGAATCTATTGTTGTTCAAGAAAATAGCGTCGAGATCTTTATCAAAGATCTCTGGTGGCAGTTTCCCTTCAAAATCATTGTATCTTATGTCAAGGAACTTCAAAGACGGCCAAGAAAGAGCAACCGTCGGAAACGGACCAACGAACCGGTTATTGCTCACGTCGAATTCGTACATTAACGTTAGCTTTGAAAGACTTTTCGGAATAACTCCGCAAAACCTGTTGGAGTTAATGTGAAACAAGGCTACGTCTGTCAATAAACCCAGCTCAGGCGGCAAGTATCCGGCTATATCCGCATGGTTAAGGTCAATACCCGCCACAACCAATACGCTTGGATCGTCAAGTGCTGGTGCACAGAAAACTCCTTTGTAAGAACACACGTCTGGACCAACCCAATTAGCCGCAGTGTTGAACGGATCGGAGTAGAATGCCTTTTTCCAAGCTTGAAGGGCAATGTAAGCCCTTTTGAGTCTGTTATTAGCAAATTTGAGGTCTAAATCGACTTCGTACTCCATGTCGTCAGGAAGATCTCCGTTTTCTGATAGTGCCAAAAGTTGGCGTCTTGTAAGAAACGAAGCTTCCTCATCGGTGAGAGCGGCTGCGGAATAGAAGAAAATGGAGATGGTGAAACAAAAGAGGAGAAGGAAGCAGCCAAAAGGCTTCTCCATTGTTCTTCGGGTCATGGTGATGAAAAACCTTGGAAATGGCTCTATGGCTTGCTTAATAGATGAATGTTGTGGAGAGAAAGCCTATAATGAAACGAAGGCAAACAGAAACCACTGGATTGTTTTCCTATTTTTGGTATAACAAAATTTATATAGACTAACGTTTTTAAGGATACGAAAATAGCAAACTATTGTAGCTAATATAGAATGAGAGGTCGTTGACAACGTCTTTACGTCTTTACAAGTTTTGTTTGTTTTACCATTATTGAAATTTGGACGACCAATATTTTTTACAGTCTGGAAAAAGTAAAAACTCTTTCTTAGTGTTGTGATTTGTGAACATTTCCATTTTTATTTGATGTTTGCGTTTTGAACTCTTGGGAAAACAGTGAAACAAACATTGTTTTCTAAAATTGCTGATATTATAGGCTATATTTTTTACACAACCAAACACGTTTACAAGTACGAAATTGTTCAAAATTTTACTTTTTTTGTTAAGAAAAAGTCTTTATTAGTAGTATAGTATTTGAAGAAAATTTCCAAGGATTAAATCAAGAAAATGATTCCATCTAGTATATCTGTTTTTATAATCACTTTTAAGAATGATCAAATAATATCTTTGTGACATTCACATAAGAACTGTTCAATATGTCAACACCTCATTTTTTAGTTTCTAGTTCCTACTATATAACTGTTTTGAACATTCGTCATCACAACTCTCGCAAAAAAGTCAAAAGAAAAAATGGTGAGCAAAACAAACAAATACTTAACCTCAATTCTTGTGATATTGATCAGCTTATACTACCGTCCTATCTCCGCCACGCAACATGGCCTGGTCCATTTTGTGCTGGTTCATGGAGCCGGCCATGGGGCTTGGTGTTGGTATAAACTCATACCAATCTTGAAATCTCAAGGCCATAACGTAACTGCGGTCAACTTAGCGGCGTCTGGAATTGATCTACGACGGGCTGAGACTCTGCGGTCTGTTGCGGAGTATATTGGGCCCTTGATGGGCCTAATGGAGAGTTTAGGTGAGGATGAGAAGGTGATTCTCGTGGCACATAGTTTGGGTGGGCTTGCTATTTCTAAGGCCATGGAGATGTTCTACAAAAAGGTTCATATGGCTATTTTCGTTACTGCCCTAATGCCTGGCCCGACCTTCAATTTCACTTTGCTTTCTCAAGGGGTATGTTCATAACTACATGCTTTTGTGTTTTCAGTTTTCACTTGATTACAAAAACAATAAGCCTTCTTTTAACACTTATGATTTTTTTCCAATAATTCTATAATTTTTTGTAAGTTGGTGAGGTGGCAAGCTCCACAACTGGATTTGAAGTTTGTATTTGGAGATGGGCCTAATAAATCTCCTACACTTTCCATTGGAGGCCCACTTTTTATTTCAATGACTATGTATGACCTTAGTCCTAAAGAGGTAAACAAAAAATTCCAAATTTCTTACATTTTTATTGAAAAATACACAATGCTTAAGTAAGCCATGTATTTTTTTAGGACGTAGAATTAGCGGCGTTATTGGTACGACCACAACGGTTATTCAGCAACGCAGATATAGATACAAGTCTTGTGCTCACGCCGGAGAGATTCGGGTCGGTAAATCGAATCTTTGTCGTGTCCGAGAAAGACAAGTCATTAGTGAAAGAGTTTCAGCTCTGGATGATCAAGAACAACCCTCCTAACCACGTGGAGCATATCCAGAATTCTGATCATATGGTCATGATTTCTAGGCCGCTAGATCTTGGTGCCTGTCTATTGTCTTTGGCTAAGAAGTTCGCTTGAAATATATTGATTTTTTTTCAACATTATTTTGTTATAAAATATGCACCAAAGAAAACATGATTTGTAAGGCCAACGCTGGATTCCAAGTTTTTTATATTATTACATGGTTGATCAATTCTATTCATATGTTTCACGAGCCACTTTGTTATATTTTTGTATTTATACATCCATTGCCATGCAGTATGTTTGACTTTTCAACTTTAGCTACTACTAGTAGATTGTTTCACAAAACTAATCAAACTACAAAACTAAGTAGTTGACCACTATAATTAGCATGAGACTATGGACCCTGAGAAGATTAAAATCTCATCGATCAAAATCATACATATAAAAGTAGGGTTTCACTCTCCCATGATTGGTCCACTTGGCATTTTTTTTATTTATATTTTCTTAAATTTACCTTTAATATATTAATCTCTAATTAACTCCCTTTAAAACTCATGTGTAACTCCACATTTAAATTCATTTGTAACTCCTCCACTAAAATGCATTAACTATTTGAAAATGATATTGACTATAATTTAAACTCTATATTTAAACTCAATAGTAACTTCTACCAATAAATAATAATTTGTAACTCATACTCAATAATTATAAGAGTTTCACCACTTCTCATCTATAAATATCAATTCTCTTATCATTCTCTACCATATTTTCAAATCTGTAAATTTACTTTATTTTATGTTCTTGCATGAGTTAAAAACAATTGTGTCATGGTGATAGTGAAGGTTTGATTGTAATATTTATTTTTAAAGATTATATGATATGTAGTTTACATTGTATTCAATTTGCACTTCGTTTATTTTATTTTTAGAGATTATATGGTATATGTAGTTTATATTGTATTCCATTTTATTTTGTTTTCACCGCATTACAAGAATATATTTCTTTCATTTTTAGTTTTCAAAATTCTTGCTATAATATTTATCTGTTTCCCGATTTATCTATGGAAGTTCAAAAGCTAACTATTCTAATATTCACACAAGTCAATCAAATTGAAATGATATATCTTCGTTTTTTACTATTGATGTATGATTATTCTCTTTATCTATTTATTCAAACAAAAAACATTATTCGATGTTTTAGCATTTTGAAATTAAAATTTTTAATGCATTTCTCAAATATATGTTCTAACATGTAGTGATATGAATATCATTGTAGTATTTTTCCAAGGTTTGTGGTCAAAATTATTTTTTTCCAACAAAATTAATTTAATAAAAACAGTTAGATAATCAATAGCAAATGTTTAAATATCATGTTGGTAAAAAGATGTGAGAAAAAGTATCTTTAGTGAAAAATGTATGCTATTCATGTTAGAAGAAAAACTGTTTTTCCTTTGCATCAAGCACACAAAAATTATTATTGTATATAAATAAGTTGAATTTTCTTAAAATTGAAGATATTAGAACTTAGACTTAATAAAAAAATGTAAGTAGGTGTTAGATATATCTAGAAACTACACTATTCTTGATATATGTTTTTTTAATTACAATATACAAATAATTTATAAAATATTTCGAGTCGTACCACTTAATTGATTAAATCTTACAATACTAAAAAATAAGTGGTGTTAAAAAATTATGCATTGTAAATTTGTAATCATAGAAGAATATGTGTGATAATATTAAAAGCATAATTTTTTTTTAGTTTTCATTTCAAATTTTAAATTCATGTTTAGATTAAAATTGTAACAAGTCACGCGTAGCGTGACTACATTCATCTAGTTTAGTAAATAAAAAAAAAGATACGTCCTTTAGCTCCAAAAAAATTACTAAATGAAACCAAAGTTTTTTTTTTTAAGTCTAAATTGAAAGCGCTTTTACTTTTCCCATTTAAGATTCGATGAACTTTTTTCATCTGAGACCTAAATAAGTAGTTTCAAGAACATTAAATCCAGTTTTAAGAGTTTAACACATTTTTTCTTATAGACCAATTAACTTAATTCACACCTCACGATTCTGATCATCTCCATAAAAGGTGATACTTTTTTCTGTGTATAACTTGGATTATATTTTCCAATCTCACCTTGCAAAGATGGAGATTTTTTTCTTTAAATTGTCAATAATAGATTAACTACACTGGAAAGCTTATTACATATTTTATGATTGTTGTAGTGGCAAATCTTTCAAAGCTGTGATTAGTATCCTCAAATTCAATAGATCTTAAAGAAAGTTAGAAGCAGTTAATACTCAAAAATCAATAAACGTCCACGAATTGATTCATCTGTAAACTCTTCATTATCTTTTGGTTATGCTTTATACACAAATCAACAACATACAAAACGCCACAAGGCACGAGAACTACTAAATTTAACGAAGCCAAAAAAAAAAGAAATTAAAAAGCTCATCACATGAATCCAACAAGAGGAATGGGAACGGCGGCGTAATTATTCCGGCGACCACCGTGAACTGATGGAAGCGACGGTGGAGGCTTACGGAAAGCTTCCTCTACTGATTCAGCAACGGTGGCGACGAAAACAACAGCAATTTTCACCAATTCGATGCAAATCTCTAGCTTTTGAGACACCATGTTGTGCTTAATTCGTAGGAGAGAACTAAAAATGTTTTACTTTTCTTCTTGTTTCGTGTTTTGCGCTTTTGAGGGTTTTTTTTTTTTCTCTATGTTTTCCGCGTCTAGAGAGCTCTTGTCTTTGTGAGTCGTCTTACTTGCAAAAGCCAGAGTTATGTATTTATACAGACAATCATCAATCCATGTACACTTTTTTTTATGAATAATGGATTATGATAAATTTAATAATTGGTTGGTTGATATGCCATGTGGCATTTGATTCGCTACCATTTTTTTCTGGGAAGATGCTTTGTTGTTGTCCTTTGGTTTATACAAAGAGCCAATATTATTTGGGGGCATTTCTTTACATACATGTGTGTAAATATACGTCTAACGTCGCATGTAGGTGAATGTGTATATATGTACGTATGTATAAGTGATTAAGTGTGTTTGTATATACTTTATCGTATATCCGAGCATGCAAAGATAGGTTTTACGTACGATTAAAAAAAAGAAAAAAAAAGAGGAAGAGGAAATATTTAAATTCGATCAAAAATGGAAAATAATAAGTAAAAGCAGGAGATATAGCTAAATTGATAGTCTAATGAGATATTTTAATTCCTAGAAATACTTTTGTCTGGAGTGTAGATATGATTTATTATTTTCAATCTTTTGAATCAAATAAAGAGGAATTGTAACGTATTCATGTCTATAATCCACGTGGAAACGTAAGTTAATTATGATATACCTATGTTTTAAGAAATGATATATCTATATCATACACACGGTTTAGTTGAATGGATGAGGATGAAAAATTTGCACCAATAGGACACGAAGACAATAGGACCACTTGATGTTGTTTTGATTGAATATTTAATGAATACTTTTGATTAACTTGCGTGGATCTTATACTTGTTAATTTCCTATGTTCCCCTTCGCAGTGTAACGCTGACTAAGACCTTCATTAGTATATACATACATATACATCAAATGATGTAAGTTGATACTTTATAATGAGGAATCAAGTGATTCACAATATTTAAAATCAAAAAGTGTTGATCATAAAGTGCATGAGATAATGATTATTAATTACTTTTTATTCTCGAATGATTGGTAGTTGTTTATTACATAAAGTCGAATCTAGAATTCTAGATGTCACTATATTTTTCGATATTTGCAAATATGGCTTATTGCTAAAACAATGTGGTCTTCCTAATGAAAACATACTGACCCAAAATCTAAAATAATTAAAACGATTAGTTTCACTCTAATTCGATTTCTTTTATGAATTTAGCTAGAACAACTTTAACTAAAATCAAAACAATAAACAAAACAGGTGACCTAAAAAAAACTTGGGGTTTTAAAACTAAAAATTCAAAGATATGGGTGTATATCTAATTCTACTTAATTCGTGGGATCGAAATGAAAATCAGTAGAGTGATCGATGGGACGTAGCACCAAACTGTCCAAACCCAAAAAGAATGCATAATTGAGAAATTAAGTAGTGCATATTGTTGCGACTTGCAAGTAGCATCCTCAACCATTCTTTCTTTAACTCTAAGCTTAATTAAACAAAACACCAAAATTAGCTAACCATATGTTCTAAGAGCCCATGGAAATTATGCCACGTGTCTTCGTCGTAGTTGTTGAAGTCCCTCCTACTTTCCTCTTTTTTAAGATCAAGAGTTTATGTTTTGTCTAGTGCTGATTAAAAAAAAATTAGTACAAAAGACAAAATTTTAAAAGTAACCAATAGACAATATACAGAATCTCGTAAACGAGATTCTAACATCTACATGGCTTTATCAAAGAAAGTTGGAAATAGACTTGCAGCTTTTTTCAAAAACATGGTTGGATACGTGAATATGATCGCCAAGTTAGCCGAGTGTATTAATATTCACTTTGTTCTAGAGTTATCATAAAAACAGATGAATAAAACCTGGTGATTGTTTTATCGAATTTGAATTTAGAATAATTATCATTAAGTGAAAGACCTACAAAATCGCTATAAACTATTTAAAATCCTTCCATATACGCCATGTTATATTGAAAGACACGCACAAGCGAAGCAAAACCTTCCCTAACAATGTTTGTTTAGCAACTTGGATAGGGGATTATGCGGAATGCGTGTTATTTGCATTAGTTGCATGTATCATTGAATCCTATTTCATATTCTAAAAAAAGAACGAAAAAAACCTCTAAAGTCTAATAATAGTGTAATATATAAAATAAAGATTACGGAAACGTAAGCAAATCTTATGATGCATGGCGACCTTTAAAGACCACATCTTCCTTTTTTATTTTTCTATTCTTGATCAATCTTATCCACTTATTCCCCTAATTTCTTTCATATTAAAAAAAAAACTTGTTCTATAAAAGAGCTCGTAGAAACGAATTTAAACTAATGACGACCAGAAATTAAAAACTGATGACGATCATAAGTATGCTTTACCTTTTGGTTTGTTCCGATCCACTTCAAACTAATTTGACTAATATCTATATATTTATAGGTGCACAAGTGTGTATATACAATAAATTTCAAAAGCAAACATGCAATTTAAAAAGGAAAAATCATTGCCAGCTACACGAATTATACGCCAACACATCACCACACATGCAGACTATTTTAATGTCTCGCTAACTACACGAACTATTGGTATTACATACGGACATCCCCGAACTATCATCGGTTATGTGTGCAACACCATAACCATCATTTTCAGATAATATAAATGTCTTGTTAACTACACGAAGTATTTTTTTTTTTGTCAACTACACGAAGTATTTTCCATCAAATTTTTTTTTTTTTTAAAGTAATTAAAAAATAAAAAATAACTAAAAAGTAAATAGTCACTTAGTTAAATTATACATCACTATAAGTTAAATAAAACTATATAATATATCAATGTAAATTATATATACCATAACCATCATTTCCAGATAATATAAATGTATTGTTAACTACACGAAATATTTCCATCATTTTTTAAAACTAAATTAAAAAATGAAAAAATAACTAAAAGTAAATAATACACTATTGTTAATTATATATATGCATTATAACTTTTAAAGTTTAAATTCTACATATGCAGTATCCCTTATAATTTTAAGTTAAATTAATTAACTAATTTTTAATGCACACATATGTTTTATATGAAATTAATTTAACTAAATTTTTAAAAGTGTCACTTAATTAAATTATACATGTTCATTATAGGTTTAAGTTAATTAACAAATTTTTAATGAACACATATATTTTTTATGGAACTAGTTTAGTCTTTATTACATTAAAATTTTAAAGTTAGAATAGTTATAATGTACATATATAATTTACATTGATATATTATATAGTTTTATTTAACTTATTAGTTTTAAAAAAAAATTGATGAAAATACTTCATGTAGTTGACAAAAAAAAGAAATACTTCGTGTAGTTAACAAGACATTTATATTATTTGGAAATGATGGTTATGGTGTTGCACACATAACCGATGATAGTTCGGGGATGTCCGTATGTAATACCAATAGTTCGTGTAGTTAGCGAAACATTAAAATAGTCTGCATGTGTGGTGATGTGTTGGCGTATAGTTGGTGTAGCTGGCGATGATTTTTCCATTTAAAAACATTAAGGCTGTGATCAAAATTCAGGACCACCAAAGACTATTTTCCTCTAAGACATATATAATTCCATGAATAGTTACGGTATTTGAAAATAAGAAGTTTAATGTTATATTCGTTTGCGTAATATTATGATCAGTGTTAATGTTATATTCGTTTGCGGCTTGTGTAATGCAATTATAGAAAAAAAATTGTTTCATCAAAACTATTTCGATATTCTCGTTTGCATCGTGCGTAATTTTATTATCATGTACACTGATTTCTTTTCTAATTTAAAATGTCTTCCATTAACAGAAATTAATCGTATTTCAAAGTGTCAGAAGTATAGGCAGGGCTTTTGCAATGCAAATCATTAGGAGCTAAGCTAAACCCTCTATCTCAATGAGTCACTGCCTACTATACCTTTCTCTGCTTCTGTTAACTCATCTCTATATTCTAGCAACAAGCGATCACATTTCACCAGCAACTCATCTGCTAAAGCCGGTATTACAGGGTTACGCCCGTCATTGTAAAGATGAGCATTGAACTTGATCTGCCAGACATCGTGTCTAAATTGCTCTCTGTCACTGTACTCCATCCTCCGTACCTTATCCCGGATTGTCGAGAGATCCATTGGGCGTTTCACAATGTCAAGATAGTTGGGAGCCTCCTTTTTTGAAACCGGTTTCAAGAAGAGGTATGACACGTTTACCTCTTTGGCTCTCAGTGTGTCCACTATGTTTTCCAAGATGTTTGCTAGGCCAACCTGTTGGCAAATGAATAGAGAAAAAAAAACAAAGATGAGTTTCAGAGAGCTCTTAGGATCATGTATCACTTGGTTTTCATCTAGTTTTTAGATTTAAACTTCAACGTCTCCTTTCATTTTATGCCAAGACAACAAAACTGTGAGTTCCAGTTTGATCTCAACAATGGTGCGGAACACATGAAAGCAAGCAACGTGGTTATAGAGCAATAACATTAAGTGAACAAAAGTAGAATATGGAAGCAACGAAGATCTTTTACCTGTCCTTTTTTTCGTCGTTTTGGTTGAGGTGCATACTCTGTCCCGTTCCTTTCAAAGTCAGAGACACACAGGCTGTTGATGTTTTGACCTCTTTCTGACAATTTTCTATCTTTTCTTCGAGGAGGATAATCTTCTATTATTTCGCGTTGCAGGTTCTTTTCCTGCTTGGCTTTTTTTCGTTCCTCTTCCCCCCACTCACTTCGTATAACCTCTTTATATCTTCTGATCTCATCTATCTCACTGCGATCTTCTGATACAGTAATATCATCGTAATCTCTTCTCAGCTTTCCCTCCCTGTGCCTTTCTGTACTTATATCTTGTTCTTTCCGCCATATTTTATCCTCTTTTGCTCCCCAGTCTAGACAGTTATCTGACAATCTAAGTCTCTGCTGCCTCTGAAAATCTGCCATTCTTTTTGTCGTCCTGGACTCAAACTGTGGAGTCTCTTCAAGACTACCGCTGTCATGATCAGCTATCTCTTTTAAACATTTAATAACAAGTTTCTTCTGCGGATGTTCTTTTTCTGTTGGC